GCATAAATGAATGTTGATAAGATACATTTTTCTGACACACTTCTACATTTCTGGAATTCTTATAAAGGGTGTTTAAAGTGGGTGGGACCTGACTTTTTTCCTCTTATTCTTATTCGTGAAAAAGTAGAAGCATTTGATGGAGTGAAAAAAATTACATAAGAACGGTACTCTCATCGGAAAACAAAAATTGTAAAAGTTTTCGAAATATTACAAAAAATATCGTAAGTTACACGTTAGGAAATGCGTTTTGTGTAAGTCTCTGTCTTGCGGGATTTCGCTTCGCTCGTCGCGCAAAATCCCATCGTTACTCGAAATTACGTGTTTCTTAACTGGTTACCTAAATTTCTATTTCATCCAGCATTTTTCTTTATTGAGTCAAAATTTCAATACTGAATTATCGTTCAGCACGTAATATGTCTACAGGTAACCATGAAGTCTGTTTGGCATAAAATAATTATGTCTGTACTTGTCAGAATAAATCACTCATTTATAATGAATGATCCTTATCCAACACATAACAGTTATGACTGTCATCATTAATGTCATTTCAGACAAGTAAACTATCTAATAACTCACGTTTATATTTAAAGAAGTATTCTATTTATTTTTTACTATTACAAGCAGGATTCACATTGATATTGAAATTAATGGAAAACGCTAACGGTATATCCGAATTTGAATTGTAAAATTCGTTGGTTCATTGGAACCAGATGCTCCCATATCGGGGCTTCAAAGTAGTCATGTTAACCCCTGCATTGGCCAAAAGAGTCGTCGAAGATCTTCTCAGGCAGTGACCGGTGTAGGGCGCTGCTTTCTCCAAGTTCAAAAGCTTTGCAATTCTTGAAGGTATCTTCGACAACGTATTTATGTGGCCACACACTGGCCGCATTTTTGTAAAGAACAAAAAAGCGGCTAGAACTAGTTTTCTTTGGTCTCAGAGACATGTATTTTTTACACAAATTGATCGGATTGACTGGAAATCCTTCTTCAAGTATGGTGATACTCCTTGATTTCTTGGTTTCAGTGTCAGGCAAAATTACGTGAGAATATTTCCATTTATCTTGAATATTTTCTATTTTCAAATTGATCAATTCATCGCATCTACAAGCACCGCTAATCCCCATTATCAAAGCTACTTTCATCAACAAGTACTCGTCATCGGGAGCTTCGTTCAACAACTTCTCTATTTCAGGTCGTTCTAATGTCTTGGACTTCTTTGGTTTGTATCCCTGTGATTTGCGTTTCAATTTTTTTTGCAAATGCAAAAAATAAGCCAATATAGAACGTTTTCATCGATACCTTTCATCTTCCGTGAATTCATCCAAGACTCAAACATTTTGAACTCCTTGTCGTTAGCATCTCGGGACTTTTCTGGCAAAATCTGCATCGTTGCTTCTTCCGCTTCCGTAAGGATATCCTCAGGAACGTAAATTTCATCGGTTTCCTCCATTTTCTGTACGTTTTTTTTTTTCATTCAAAAAAGTTTCCTCTTTTTGCAGGGAAAACTGACAAGTGTCAAAATTCATTTGAACATTTGCTAACAATGTTTCATGCCGTGGCAACCTAACAAACAGCCCACTTTAACCAAAATGTAAAAAAGTCACTGTCAAGTAATTCTGACATTCATTGGGTACTGAGACGCAGGTAGCTTTGATTTGATCACAAAACTTATTAATTATTATCTCATGAAAAAACGATTTCATGCATTTGTTGGATAAAACATTGCATGCCACTCTTGTGTTATGTTTCCTAAGTCACTTGAAGATTTATACCACTCGGCCTAACGGCCTCGTGGTATAAATATTTCTCGCGTGACTTATTTTCAAAATGACACAGTAGTACCATAAATAACTATTGCTTCGTGAACGTGAAAAGGTCTAGCGAAATTCCTCAATGTTCTGAACATCTTGTGTCGCCGAGCAACACCACGAGTCCGTTAGGACAAGTGGTATTGCTCGGCAACACAATATCGTGAACAATGAAGCGACAGAATGTTCTCGAATATTCAGAACACCGTTATATTAGTTATGATTATTCATTCGCAATATTCATTTGGCGAAAACAAATATCCATACTCAACCGACATCTACTTGCGTGATACTCTCATTATGCTTTCAATCTCCTAATTATGCTTATTAGGATTCTCAAATACTACCACTGAAGACGCGAGTGTGATTATCTGCGCTGCCAATACGTAGGTTTAATACTAATTGTGATACAATAACGAAAGTATGAATGATTGGTGCTGTATCACGCTAATCCATCTGTGAATAGAATTCAATAAACTGAAGAGATGCCGCCAGATTGTCTCAATTTGCAGTGCTTTAATGGAATTACTCAATACTATATCAAGTGGAATGGCATCTCATATCAAAGTCATTAATTTCAATATAGAAGTCAAATATCTGTAGCGAAATTGTACCAAATCTATTAGGAACAATAAATTCTTTTACTTACTCCACTATGTTCGACGACTGACTGTTCTATGAATAAATAGTGTTTATTTAATTAATTGCTCTTAATAGGCTCGTTTTCAAGACTTATCGATTGTACACATTATACAGTATATTTAAAAAGTATCACGACTAATTCATGATGAGACAAGAGCGACAGAAAATGTACTCACCTATTACTGAATACGGTCCTGCCGTGATAATTTTTTGTGATACAATTTATTGTACGTGTATTCTACTTGATGATGCTACTATGTTAGGGAAACATGTCGTGCTAATGAATTTTGTGGAAATATCATCGTTTGTAAAGATTTTTACATTCATTATGGATTTCATACCGACTCAACTTCGATAGGAAGTGTTTCGTCCTTGGTACAAAAATAAACTATTATAAAAGTTGGAATGTCTTTTTTCTGTACCCCTTCATTGAACGAGTGCAGACAAATTATCATTTGAAGCCCGATTAATTTACCAACTTTTATATTTCTGAAAGTTTTTCCGAAAACTGAAGCATTTGCCATGTTCTTTAAAAGAAACTATTTTGTTGAGAAAATCTGGTAATGCAAAATATCTTATGGGTTGAATATCTCAACTTCGGGGTAGAGAACATTAGACAATGTGTAGTTTTATTGACAAATAATATTTACCAAGTTCCGCATTTTTAGCTTAATATACAAGGAAAATTAAAAAGAGAAACTTTTTTTTTAATATTCAGGAGAGTGTATAACTTTTCCGGAGAGAGGTTTTTCAACAAATTTTGTGAATTTTACAGGTATTATTCCGATACAACCTGTATATTTCAAGGGGTCCTTGTTCACAGCAGCCCCAAAAGCTCCAATTTCCTCAGGAATTTCAGAAATCTGAGAGAATCTTTATCCTATCATTTATCTTCCATATCCGGTACGATCCCAGTGGTTTCAATACTCAATTTTACCAGGGTGACTGAAATTTGAACCTCTCAAAATTACCAAAAAGGGATTGGAGCTTGAGGGGCTGCTGTGAACGGGAAACCCTTGAGGAGGTTGAAGATGGGTTACAATAAATCTAGTCAGGCTGTAGTGCATTTGTCATCATTCTATTTTTTCATCTCTTGGAGCGCACGAGACGAAATTCCTATAATGTTCGAAGAACATCGTGCGTACCTAGGGAGGACAGGAAGAGAAGTAGGTATTGCATTTTTTTTTTCAAATTTCTGATGTTATAAGTTCTTGGCAATACTACCATCGCCAAAGAGTTCCAAAGCTTTGCCGTTTCATAGACGAACGAGTTTTGGTAAAGTGTTGTTCGACATATTTCAACGACAGAATGTGCTGGCTGGGTGCTTCCGAAATTGGAGCTATAAATGGAATGGGGAGTTGAATGAGACATCATCATGAATGACAAAATAATTCGAGAGAAAGATTATGTTTCAATTGTTCATTTCAAAACGAACATTTACCGCATATCTGAACTAGTATTGAACAGACGGCAACATTGCAAAAGTCATTAATACAGGTCAGGTTACAAAAATGAACTTTATTAACATTTTGATTTTTTTTTCTTTTAATAAACACGTTATTGACGTCCTTGAGGGATGTCCCTGGGACAACTACTCATCGAGCACTACGGAGGACATCCTTAGGACATCCGTAGGATAACCTATCAGCAACGCTGAGAGATATCAATTGGATGTCTATAGGATGTCCCAGGGACGTACGAATTATTCTTTTTCTGGGTCCCTCTAAGACCATATCTTGCATAACTGATGAGGACATCCAGTTAAGTTGATGGTCCGTAGAAGGTCCCCAATAGATCTTGAAAAAGTTTCCCAAGGATGTCCAATGGATTTACGTGGAGGACATTGACGAGAAGTATTTTATAGCCTACGAGCAATCATTCGTCGGCGAGGTGTAAGTTAACGTCCTTAAGTTAACTGGTACGTCCGTAGGACGTTATTTCTAGAACATTGGATAAGTACAGTTCATGTACCAATTGGGACATCCGACAGTTATCCCTAAGGGACATTCGAAGTATGTCCCTTAGGGACATTTCGATTGTTATACGATCCTGGAAATATTAAGGGCGTCTGTGCAGAGATATTTGAAGGAATTTACTATCAGGGACATTTCATGGTTGACTAGAAGGGACATTATAAAAGATCTGAAGTCATTCCAGAATATGTACTACTCGGGACATCCGATGCATGTCCCTAAAGGAACGTTTGAAATCATATCCCATCAGGGACATGCCAATAAGGACGTCCTTGCATGGACATTCTACAATATGTACCACGTGGGACGTCTAAGGGATGCTATTTCTAGGACATTTGAATTGACGTACCGGCTGGGACATTCCGTGGATGTCCTTGCTCGGACATTGCATGAGATGTTCGGGATGGGACGTCCCAAGGACACTCATTTTTGGTCCGGGACATTCGGACTTGAATTGTACCAAATAGGGACGTCCCTAGGACGTTGTGTGCTATTAGGTTAATTTTCGGAAAACACTTTGTATTGTAAATTAGACGATGTATAAGAAACTAAGTTTTATTTCGATTATTTCTTATAGGATGAGGATCGAAACGTATCTGTGGGTGGCGCTCATAGCGCTCACTTTCCTAGGCACAACCTCTGAAGCTAGATCGCGAAGGAGGTCGAAGAAATCCAAATCTACAGCTCAGCCACAGGCCGATGATCCAGCTGGAGCTGAAGTTCAGAATCAACAACCAACTGTAGCCGGAGTTCAGAATCAAGAACCAAATGGAGCTGGAGTTCAAAATCAACAACCAACTGAGGATTATGCAGAATATGGAAACCCTGATTATTCTGATTATTATGAAGAGAATGGGGACAATGGTAGTGGTAGAGGTACGTTTCATGAATTCAAATTTTTGAATGAAAGAATGAATAATAATACCAGGTATTTACGAATCATATAGTGAATTCTCTTGATCTCAAGGGCAGATCCAGAGGGGGGTCATGGGGGCCATAACAAATGGATAGTGGCCATACTAATACACGACATGTTACGCTGGAATTATTCAATTTTATTGCCCATGATTATATGTTATAATAAGTTTTTTCCGCATATACAGTGTGTTTTCTGATCATTGGTAATATTCGTGAGGTGATTCCTGAAGTACTTTTATAGAAAAAAGTTTCAATAACCTTTTATCGAAAAATGCTTCTCAAGGGAGGCCCTTCAAATAGGTGCACCCTGGAGACGGTTTTTGCTCGATATTTCCGAAACCGTTTATTGAAAAATCATGAAATTAGATACATCGCATAATGCTAATGCTGAATCAGAATTAGAGCTCAGAATTTCAAAATCTTTTTTAGGGATGTTACGTACTGGATGGGTTAATGTTGGAAAATAATTCAATTGTTTATGGTATTTGCTTCCACATTTTCATCTCAGAATATGATACCTGGAGGTTATGCATGTGAAAAAGGTACTCCTAATTCAAATCGATAGGGCAAGTTGTTTACGGAAAAATTGCCATTTTCTACATTGATCTCGACATTGATGCATCGGCACCTCGATCGGCACCTTGAACACGGGTTTTTCCCAATATTCCACGAACCGATAACACTGAGATTTCGAAATTTGGTACGCTGCATACTTTTAACGCCAAATCAAATCTTGAGCTGAAGATTTCAAAATCCTCATAGGAAGTGTATCATAATGAAGGGGTTAGGCTAGAATACCAGTTTCTGATTGATTGTAAAGAGATAATGGGTATCCGTGTTGTAATTAGTCTTATATTTATATCATCAGATTCTTTGAAAATTTTGACATGCACGTCAATATTTTTGAAGAATCAGATGAATCAAAAGCACATCAAAAGACAAAATGTCATAAATGAATCGTCACTAGAAAATGGGGTTGTTTTGACCCCCGCAATAACTTCAGTATGATACGTCTCTGACGGAAATTCTGAAATTTCGAGCTCAGTTTATGCAGTGTATCTTCAAAATTTCAGTGTTAGCAGTTTCGAAAATAATCAGGAAAACCCGTCTCTAGGGTACCTATGCATTGATGCAAGAAATTGTGATTTTCTCGAAATCTACTAGCCCTATTGATATATTTTGCTATCAGAATATAAAAAAAAATATGTATAAAAAATGGGATTGATAACTACTCCAGAATGATGTCATCGAAATTCAATATGTGCCAGATGTAATGAATTTTGGATAAACGATTCCGAAAATTGTGAGGAAAAATCGTTTCAGGTCGTCCTTTTAAGGGGCGGAGCACCCTTAGGAACCACTTTTCAAAAAATATTTCTAGGATCTCTTTTAATGAAAATACCTCAGGACCGATATTTTACCAATGTTCAGGAAACACACCATATATTTATATAAATATTATATTATATTTATATAAATATTGATCGATATTTTAGCGAGAACAATAAAATAAACAATAGGCAAGAAGTAATGTGGCACGGTAGATGATCAGAAGAGAATCAAGATGGCAATACGCTTCAGTCTCTTCTTGAAGTTACTGAGAGTGTGAGATCTAAATTCCCTGGGCAGTGTATTATATCATATATATATACTTGCGTTATATGAAAAACTACGTTTGAACATTGTAGTTTTGTGTTTTTGGAATAACAAATGTAAATCTATTATGCCTGAGAGATTAATTATTGATAAGTGAAAATGTTTGCAGTCGTTTGTGAAAGTATTCAGGTTCACCTGTGGTCAAGACTTTTTGTACTTGAAACAGCAAATGCAGATGTCTCAATTGTTCTAATCTCATCCAAGCTGAACCGACCATTTCAGTTGATATGTGGTCAAATTTCCGTATTCCATAAGAAAATCGCCAGTGGAATTCTAGTCGGTAGCTAATAATGCTGATGGACAATTAATAATGTCACAGTAGGAAAACTTAGAGAAAATTAGAGACCCGCACGATAGGAAGAGTTTAATCACCTAAATTGATTCTCAGATCAGTTGTAGACTCTCTCGCTCTTTCAGAGTCAGATAGCATCACCATAGATTTCCTAGAGTTGAGCTTCAGGTTGCACATAAAATGTCCAACAGAGAAATCAAATCTCCATTTATATAGATTTGTGACTCTTGCAAATTAGAATGCGTGAAAGAAAAATAAATCTGTGTGTCTTCACAGCATAGTGGTGTACTGTATAGTTGATAATAAATTCATTAAAGTCTGATATATACAAAGAAAATAAATGCGTACCCAAGATAGATCCTTGAGCACAAACAGATGAAGCCTCAGACACTTCCCCATCTAAAATTACTATTTGTGTTCGATTGGTTAGGTAATTGGTTATGAGGTTGAAGCGAATTCGAAGAAACTTTTTACACAGTACCAAGAGTACCAGACAAGTGATATTACCAAAGTCCACCGCCCGGAAAATATCATCAGTAATTGAAAGGAGAAGAGTAGTAGTGCTGAGGTGAGATCGAAATTTTGACTGAACTGATGTGATGAGCTTCTGTTTTTCTATAAAATCATTCATTTGATCTTTCAATATCACTTCGGATAAAGAAGGTGAGATGCTTATAGGTCTGAGGTCTGTGAAATCAGAAGGTTTTTCACATTTCGCCAGAGGTATTAGGTTTTATACTACTATTTTTTTTTTCCACTTTATAACGTTTTCAAAGGTTTCAGCACTGGTCTATGTAGATATGTGAACTGTAAAAATTGTAAATAGTTAGTCAACAATCATCATCTGATTATTGATCGAAGTCGGATTCACAATGAACCTATTCCAGGACAAGCCAGAACAACCCCTCAACCCCCCGACGAAATCCCCCGCGAAGAAGTGTTCAGCCAACCCGACGACGAGCGACCGACAGCGGCGCCGACAGGGGTGGTCGACGTCCGCGTCATCCCCCCCAGGCCCACCTCTGAGAGCAGCGCGGCACCCTCTTCGTGCAAACACGATGGCAGGTACTGTCAAGATGAGACATTCTTTTTTCTACTACTGCTATGAAAAGTAGCGCATTTCTCATGGTTTACTTAGTTTCAAAACCATGTATTGTCCATACTGTGAGAAATATTTTTTCAAACGGCACTTTGCCAACACCACATACATTTCTATGGAAAATCAACAAAAATCGATCAAAACTTGGCTGCTGTTCAGCTTTGAATAGTTGTCACAACTGTCAGAAGAAGTTTTTTAAATTCTTTAGGGTAGTTCTCATTAGTGGTCTTGATAGAAATCGCATTTCCAACAATTCATAATAAATAACATGATGTATATCCCGAGATGTGACGATTTTGATAGATACACCGCCAGAGACAGAGATGATGGAAGAAGCTGCGAAAGTTGGATTTGTTTCGGAAATTTCAAGAAAAACGTATGAATTGGAATATACGAAAAATTTATGGAATCTAAAAATAACAGATATAAAATCATTTTCCGAAAGTGTACTTTTATGAAATACTTTGAGGAACTAGGAAAGGCGTCTAGGTACTATTTGGTCACAATATTCAATGTGGCATAGTGCCATATTATAAAATGAATACCAATAAGTTACACTACTCGGACTCTTTGAATAAGTACAGTTGTAGAAAAAGTATAGTGTGCAACATGTGGGGAAAAGCACTTTTCTCACTGATGTTAGCACACGAATGAGTGATTTTAGTATAAAAATGTGATACAGGATGTTTTCATTAATTGATCTTGAATCTAGCATTTTCATGTTCAGTTTTCAGTAGCGAATACCATGTTCTTCTATATCAACTGAACAGGAAGCAATGCTATCGTCTTCGTTCAGAAGAATGGAAGCGGGTTCCTTGATTTTTCTTTTTTGGTTGTTATCTTCCTTTTCTATGATCTTGATATTATTCCACTCTGCGATATGTTGTCCATCTTCAGTAAGGATATGTTCAGTTAGCTTCGATTTATCGACATGTCTTTTCTTGATATTGTACTTGTGTTCTTTAGTCCTTACTGAGAGAGGTCTTTTCGTTTCAACTGTATAATACTTTCCACAAACACAAGGTATACTAAAAATACAATTGATGATATTGTTCTTAATTTTTTGGCTTTGTTTCAGTTAGAATGGATCTCATTGTATTTTTAGTTTTGAACACAGTTTTCACTTGGAACTTATCACCAACACGTTTTATTTTTTTCAGATATGCCGGAAATGTACGGTATTATATTCGTCGTTATTGATGGTTGTTTTTGTTGTGGTGTATTTTGTTTGTTTTCAATTTGGTGAATGGTTCTATCAATGAAGTTCTTTGGATATGAGTTGAGTTGAAGAACCTCTCAGATGTGGTGGATTTCGTTATTGAAAATTTGTTGGTTAGATGAAATTGATTCGGCTCGAACAGGAAGTGATTTGATTATTTCTTTTTTGCAAATTTTCTGGTGATTTAATGGTAACTGATGGACACTGATAAGTTTTTTTCCAATTCCATCTGTAACGATAGCGGTTTTTTCTGAATAAAATTCTAAAGAAATATGAAATTGAAAAGTATCAGAGTGATGATTCTATTAGATAAATATAAAAAAATTGTCTACTTGCCTATTATGATACTGGATATTGATTCGAAATATCGATTATGGGGTATCAACGTGTTCGTTACGAAATACCCTTTTCAGATATTATGATCTTTGATTCATTCTATTCGGAAAAATTCAGGTGGCATTATAATTTTTACGATATTGGTAATTTTGAACGATGTTGAAATAAATAGAAAGTAATACTTCATCGAAACTAGTTTTTCTAGGCTAATGTCAAGAAGTGGCATATAGGGTTTCATCCTATCGAAATAGGTGAAAATATACGGGGTCTTCTCTTTCTTTCTGCCAGTAAATAAAATAGAAAATCGAAGAGATAGGCCAATTTCAATGTGTTTAAATGCATATTTTTAGCCCTCTTGGTTCAACCCCCTAGGAGGGGTAGATGTTACGAAACAGGTCGATTTTCATATGGAGTGGGACACCTTTTGACGCGAAATAAATAATCCATACTTCAACCCTCTACTCCCCAGAGCAACCCTCTCAAGAGTAATTCGAAATCCCTCATCTATACAACGAAACCCACTGACCTGAACGATGTGGAGAGAAAAATAAGGATTGAATGCCAGATGAATATCTTCAAATGTCCAAGAGAAAAAATTTGAACCTTCTTAGCTGCCTGAAGTATCTACTGATTGATATCTACCGATTTTATTAACTATATTATCTGCTCACCGAGTACACGTGTTGGGTTTTTCTTGCCGACCTGATTGAACTGAATGAAAAACGTATCTCTGACCTCTTTCTTTTCTGAATTGGTGGATTTATTGTTGAAACGGAAAATGGCTACGCATTTCAAGAATTCTACTTCTATCACGATGGTTTACACGAAAGACGAGAATGTTGAAATAATTTTCATTTTTACTCCTCAAAATGAGTGTGCACGAGCAACAGCTCGAATTTAATCAGATAATCAATCCATTGGAAATAAATGTAAAGAGTTTTTTTCATTTTAGATATATCTTGGATATTGTAGCGAAATTTCGTGAGACTGGATCAGTTGCCAATAAGAAAAGAAATAAGATGCATCCTGTCACGAATGAAATCAACCAAGTAGAAGTTTTGAGACAAGTTGCAGTAAATCCTACAATGTCTACAATGTCTACTCGACAACTGGGTAGCATCACAGGAATATCTAGAACTTCAATAATGAGGGTGATGAAACTGAACAAATTTCATCCTTATGAGATGAAACCTCATCAATCATTAAATGAGGATGACTACGATAGACGATCTGAATTTTGCGCAAATATGACGAACTTGGTACAGAGGAACCACGAGTTTATTAAGCATATTTGCTTTAGTGACGAGTGTTCATTTTATTCGAACGGTTTAGTCAACAGACACCATTGTCGGTATTGGAGTCAGAATAACCCCCATCTACTGAGAGAAGAGCAAACACAATGGCCCCAAAAGTTGAATGTGTGGGCAGAGATCTTGGGTAATCAAATCATTGGCCCAAAATTCATCCAGGGTGATTTGAATGGTATGGTATATTTGGATATGCTGCAAAATATAATCGAACCACTTATTATGGATGCTGTTAACACGGACCTCGATGATGATGGTAATCCAAATCTATTGGCAGAAAATATTGTTTTTCAACAAGATGGTGTTCCACCTCATTTCGTATTACAGGTGAGAGAATGGCTATCCCAAAATTTCCCAGATTAATGGATAGGTCGTAGAGGACCAATAGGACCAAACTTGGCACCTAATGATTTTTTCCTATGGTAAAATCGGTAATTTATAAACCGGAATCTACTGACCCCTTACCATCGAGTCTCGATGGTAACAACTGATCTCGATGATTTGGAGAAAAGAATAAGGCCCTCCGCACACGGGTCGATCGGCGACATGGGCGACGCGATTCGAATCGTACGACGGTCTCCCCTCTACTCGACTTCCTTAGCAAAGCATCTGGATCCCGCTTACGGGTCGTTTAGTGGTCGTCTAGAAACGTACGATTTAAGATCTCCTCGTTTTCAGTCTCACGCGATTAGCAAGGAAGCAGTTTGATCGAGTGAATCTTGCGTCTCAATGGAGAAAGTTGTTCAATAATTTTTCAATCATTGTGAATATTTGTGTTACCTACCTTAGTTCTTTACTTTCAGTAACTAGAACATATAACCTTATGTTTCCAATTTATACTCTCAACTTTAGAAACTGTTTGATTTTTTGAAATATATATGAATCTTACATCAATGTTATTAGTATGTGTTCTTCTGCGCTGACACATTTCCTCATATTTGAATCCATATAATTTATGGCTGGAGCAAGAGTTTCCACTAAACCAATATATGATTCCTTCGATATTCTATAAAATGCCAGAAGTTTTGTGTCACTCTCTTGCATTTCACTTGCGTTAACAAAAAGTCGAGTGTGAAAATTTCGTGCAATGTACGGATGCACCCATAAACTTCGTTGTCTTCTTCTTCTCCTGATCTGCCGGTGCCACAAAAACATGAATAAGTCCTCTTCGCCATTGGAACTGCTCATTTTCAGCGAAACATTTCTCTTTGAAGTTGCAAAAAATAGAGTACTAAAAGTTGATCAGACGCGAGTCGACTACACAAAACGTCGACCCATATGCGGATGAACACTCTCGTCTCATGAATCGTACGAATGCAGAAATTGTGACGTCATTGCAATCGCGTCGCCCATGTCGCCGATCGATCCGTGTGCGGAGGGCCTAAGAACTGAATGCCAGGCAATATCAAGAGAAACATTCTCAAACGTACGAAAGGAATTTTCAAATAGACTCTACCACTGTCTGGGAGTCAATGGAGGTCATTTTGAATATCTTCTATGAATACCTGTTCAATAATCTATAATTTACATTCATTTACAATTAAAGAACATAACATTCGAACTCGAATATCTCGAGAACTACTTGTTGGAATTCAAAAAATGTTCAACTGGTAGTTTCACACGACCCTTATTCCCTATTCAAAGTATTGAGAGGGTTGCTCTGGAGAGTAGAGGGTTGAAGTATGGATCGGATATGAAAATCGACCTGTTTCGTAATTTCTTTTTGAAATGATAATTCTGGGAGATATCGAGGGTGGTCCTCAACGGACCACCTGGTATATAAATAATGTTGTGCAGTTTATAGAAAGTATCGACTTCACAGGTACTACCAGGACAAGCAGAAGTGGCAGGTCGGGGAGTGCACTCAGTGCGCGTGCGTCCAGGGGAAAGTAGAATGCAGGACGGACGAGGTGTGTCTAGGAAACCTGAGGCCGACTGGGGAGCCGACGGTAGATGCGGCCCCCATCAGCCCTGAACCAGGTGAGGGACAGAGAGGAATCGTATCCCAGACAGCACAGAATATTCCATGAATAGTCTGACAACGTTCAAATATACCTATTTTAGAATATTTTTATACAGGGTTATGCATATGTGTGGAAACACCTCAATATCTCGAAAACGACAAATGCGGTCCCAATGAAACTGAGTGTTATAGACCCGCTTTTTTCATTTTTTATAAGAAGAAAACTTTTTATTTTCCATTATTTTTTCTTCAAATATTTGAGACCTGCATTTTTGTTATATTTAATTGATTCAAATATCCACTATAATATAAGATATACAGGGTGTTTCATTACTAATTGGAAATATTTCAACCATAGAATCCCGAACTCATAATATGAAGATTCAACCCAAATCACTAAGATACAATATGTCTCCTGTCTGAGTTACAGGGTGTTTTATTCGAAAATTTTGAAATGTTTTCTGCCCAGTTCATCAAAACTATTTGACGTATCACTTTCATATTTGGAGGGAAGTGTAGGTATTATACACCTAACTGAATTATGTGGAATGAACTTTTCTATCTATTGCCAGAGGCGTACGACAGGGGCAAGTGACTCGTTGATCCTTCCCAAATTCTACGCCACTGGCGGAATTGCAATTTTATCAGAATTTTTCGATTCTTCAATACCTTTTTCGTAAATATTGTACCCTTTCTTCATAGCGATGAAGTCATTATTTTTCGAGATATTTCAAGTTGAACATGAAGCAGCACAATTATTTTAATTTTGATGTGTATCAATAATGTCGATATTTTGGATCAATGGACTGCATTCATCAATCAAATGAAACTTCAATCCATATTAACATAAAAACATAACAGACGGGAGGTGTTACGGGGTGTTTTAATTTTTTTATATATTACATAATTAAACACCCCGTAACAGCTCCTGTAAGTTATATGTAATTATGTTTTTATTGTTAATATGGATTGAAGTTTCATTTAATTGATGAATACAATCCATTGATCCAAAATATTGACAAAATTAATGCACATTGAAATCAAAATGATTGTGCTGCTTCATGTTTAACTTGAAATATCTCGAAAAATATTGACTTTATCGCCATGAAGAAAGAATACAATATCTACGTCAAAATTGTTGGAGAATCAAAAATTTGTGATAGAATTGCAATTCCGCCAGTGGCGTAAAATTTGGAAGGGATCAACCAGTTAGTTGCCCCTGTCGTACGCCTCTGGTAATAACTAGAAAAGTTCATTCCACATAATTCAGTTGGGTGTATCATACCTACCCTTGCCTCCAAATATGGAAATGATACGTCAAATAGTTTTGAAGAACTGGGCCAAAAACATTTCAAAAATGTTGAATAAAACACCCTGTAACTCAGATAGGAGACATATTTTATCTAGGTGATTTGGGTTAAATATTTATATTTTGAGTTCGGGATTCTATGGTTGAAATATTTCCAATTAGTAATGAAACACCCTGTATATATGGATAATTTCGTTTAATAAAGTTAATAGTGATGTTCTTAAACTCATGCCTGTCAAAATTTCCCGGGCGGGCTTATCGAGAAGAGCCAATGAATCGCCAGCTCTGTACTCCTGCAAACACAGTTGCTCGCGTGTTGTTTCGCGAAATACGCAAATATCTCTCACAGATTTATCATATATCCACTGACTCATTAGATCTCTCAGTGATACAGTCCACGAAAATCTCGCGGATAGGTGGTTACAACCCCGTCAAAAGTTCGAACGAGGACGAAGAAGGATTCCAGGTGAGCCCTCCTTCTGGGCTATTTTGACAGTTATTTTTGTCATAACAATTGAAATTCATACTTCATCCAAAATGTTACACTCAGTCCCTGGGGACTGTTTGACCTAAGGAGATCAAAAATTCTATCAGCAATGTTGCCAGATTTCTGTATTTTGCTGTGCGTGACACAACTTTGTTTTTTTGAATGCAACACCCAATGTATTGTGATTGCATTCGATTGCTGATGCTTTATTCGATAGAACCTCCAATTAACAAATTTCAATTCTGATTATTTTCTGAGATTGGGAAACCAGCATTTTTGGAAAATAGTATGAGAACTCCTGGATATCTCTGAAACAATAGATGTTAGATCGATGAATTTCAGTACCCAGGGGCTGTTCGACCTGAGGAAGTCAAAAATGGTATCGGCGATGTTGCCAAATTTCTTTATTTTGCTTCGCGTGGCACAACTTTGTTCTTGAAATGCAATACTCTGTTCGCAGTCAATGCATTCAATTACTGATGCTTCATTTGATTGAACATCAGATTGACAAATTCCAATTCTGGATATTTTCTGAGATTTGGCAATTTGAGGTTTCATCAAATAGAGCATCCAGTAATTGTATTCGGTAATGATAAGCTGTATGTTACATTTAGAAAGAAACAAATTTGACTCACTCTCAGCAAAATACAGAAATCTGGCCACATCGCCGATACGATTTTTGACTTCCTCAGGTCGAACAGCGCCCAGGTACTGAAATTCATCGATATCACATCTATTGTTTCGGAGATATTCAGCAGGTTTTACCCTTTCTTCCCAAAAATGCTGGTTTGCCAAATGTCAGACAATATCGAGATTTGAAATTTGCCATCTCGGGGTTCAATCTAATGAAGCATCAGCAATCGAATGCAGTGATAACGAGCTGGGTGTTGCATGTAAAAAACAAATCTGTGTCACGCACAGCGAAATACAGAAATTTGGCCACATTGCCAATACGATTTTTGATATCCTCAGGTCGAAAAGCCTCCAGGTACCGAGTTTCATTGGGATCGCATATGTCGATTTCGAGATATTGAGTTGTTTCCACACATATGCCCACATATGATATTGATGTTCCTATTCATGTATCATAATTCATGATGTTTACCCTGACACAACCTATTATTCTCTAGTCGCAATGCTGATTTTCCCACTAATTCAGTGATTCAACGAACTTTTGTTCCTATTTTGACGTCAGCAGCAGTCTCCCAAATTTTCTACACGTAAAACCATTTTTTCATGTTCATAATTATATTTTATGATAATATTAATTCATATTCATTTTAGGCCCGAGAGGAGAACACGGTCCATCCGGAAGTCCCGGTTACCCTGGAGAAGCTGGATCACCTGGAACACCAGGGTATCCTGGAATACCTGGCCCACCAGGACCCCCCGGCCCAGCACCCGACCTATCCGCATATTACCAGCAACTCGCCCTATCACAATCTAGTGGGGACAAAGGGCCTGCGTATCCAGAACCGTTCCAGTACTTGCAGGCAGCCGTTGGACCTGTGGGATCAAGAGGTCCACCTGGTATGTAGAATATGTTTTTTTATGTTCTGGTTTCATTCAGAGTACATCGTGAGAACCAAGGGCAATTAGGTTGGGATTGGTGTTCTTCTTAAATTTCTGGAGATTATATGCCTCGGGAAACAACTCCCTTGACAATGTGTTCCAGAGCCTCTCGGTTCGTTGGATGAACGAGTCTTTGGATAGAGAAGTTCTGCAGGTCTCCAAAGTGACCACGAAGGGGTACGAAATCTCAACTCGACGGGCTTATCTCGCGGAGACTGCCAAGGGAGGAACTTGATATTTCAGAAGAGCATCGTCCATGGAAATATCTATGAAAGAGAGCCAGACCGCCAACTTTTCTACGGTGTTCCAGAGAAGTGAGTGAGTTTGTGAGCGAGGCATCACCCACGAGACGAATTGCCCTTTTTTGGACAGAATCCAACCGTTTCAGGGTATGTTTGGGTGCTGCATTCCAAATATGGGAACAGTATTCCAGGACAGGTCGGATCTGTGCCTCATAGATCATAAGCAGCTGACTGGAAGTGAAAGAGCTCCTAGCCAGAAACAGAAAACCAAGTTCTTGGGATGCACTTTTAGCAATTGATTTCATATGATTTTCCCAAGAAAAGGTATTGCTGATAGTTATACCAAGCATCGAAATGGATGTATTCAAAGGTATGATTACTCCTGACAAGCCTATGTTGGGCACAGTGAAATCGGCTTTTCTAGAGAAAAGGCATGCTTGTGTTTTGTTTGCATTGAAATCTATACCAAGTAAACCAAGTTATTGGATCCCCATTCGAAAAATGTCGCTAAGTCAATATTTATGTGGTCAACATTTCTTCCTTGTTCGTTTCTTATTTGCCTGGCTGGTAATGGAGTTCTGGAAAAGAAGGCGGTATGGAGGGTAATATCATCCGCCAAGCTGTGTACTGGAGTTGCTTCCAACAAATCGTTGATATGGAGTAGAAATAGTGTTGGTGCTAGAATTGATTCTTGCGGAACACCAGCATTCATGATGAGAGAGTCAGATGAAACTCCGTAAACCACTACATGAAGAGTCCTGTTTGAGAGAAAACTAGCTGGCAGAGAACATAGCTGGGGAGGCAAGCCATAAGATAGAAGTTTGGCGAGGAGTTCGTGGTGCCAGACTCGATCGAATGCCTTGGAAATATCAAGTGCCACGGCTGAGGTTTCACCATATTTTTCAATAGATTGCTGCCATATTATGTGAGACGTAAGCGAGCAGGCCACCAGTTGATATCTGATGACGGAAGCCATATTGCCTATCGTTAATAATACCTAAATGTTCTAGGTAATTCATGATCTCGATGTTGATAGCTTTCTCCATGATCTTTGAAATAATAGATAGCAGTGCGGTTGGTCTGTAGTTGCTAGGTAGGGTCTTTTTGCCTTTTTTAATAACTGGTTGTGCCCTTGCAATTTTTCAGTTGGACGGGAATATCCCCAATTTGTAAGAGTAGTTGAACAACTTGCAGAGAACAGGTGTTAGTTCGGGAGCACATTTCTTGAGAACAATCGGTGGGATTCCGTCGGAGCCACAAGCTTTGTTGGTGTTGAGACCCAATAAAATCTTCCTTATAGTACGTTGGCGAAAGGTGATCTCGGGCATAAGACTGTCAATTGGCGTTATGTTTTGGGGTTGTTTTCCCGATGAATCTAAAGTGGAAGTTCCAGCAAATAAATAAGCAAAAATGTTGGCATTCTCCTGGGCAGTTGTAGCTATTGTTCCTTCTTCCTTGGTTAGAGGAGGAAACGAGCAAGTTTCTTCCTACAGCTTTGGCGAAGGACCAAAATGAACGGGATCCGTTGGGACATTCAACAAGTTTTGATCTCATTTTGGCTGAGGAGAAACAAACTCTCTTCCATGGAAACGCTGAAAAAAACATACGAAGACCTTCCCAGTCGGCCGAATTATTGTAATGCCACATGAGACGGGTAGGAATTGTGGTGCTGGATGGTACATGGAAAGAGCAGGTTATGGAGATGAGGGTGTGGTCAGAGTTCAATACCGTTGTCATCCTTCGAATTCTTCTGAAAACAACTGTTGAGTACATCTTCAAGACCACATTGAAAGTGCTAAAGCTGACTTCCTTGCCGAGCAATAAAAAGTACCCATTTCTTAAGTCACACTTTTGTTTATCACGATAAGAAAGTCAGAAAAAACAACTTACTGTTGATGCCATATGATATATGATTGATAAAAACATAATATCGCGTTTCCAATCACTAGGGCCTCCTGGAGCAATTGGCCCACAAGGTTTTCAAGGACTGAGGGGAGAAACTGGAGAACCAGGGCAACCTGGACCTCAAGGGCCACCAGGACCCAGAGGCCTACAAGGACCACCAGGAAAAGATGTGAGTTAGATGATATGTATATTAATTGAGAGTTGTGACAAATTTTTATTTCTAAATATTAAGTACCTCGCACCTATTATATACCACTGTTAATAACAAGTTATATGATTCATAGTTACGGGTGAGTACTTCACTAGAACTAGACCTACCTTCTTGTTTAATCATGTCACGTGGAGATGCAATCATTAATGATTCGAATTATGAGATTTTGAATATTTAGTAATGCATTCGACGAGTCAATTGTCATGAGTTCTCCCTGGCAAAGGAGTTTTTCATTCATATAAAGCAAGTAATATTTTTCAACTTTCATAGCCTCTACCGGAAATAGTTCCGAACGATTTATGGCTGCGTTAAAATGAGCAGTGCCGCTCCTAAGGTGACGTCTGAATACTCTGAATTCAAGTTACAAAGTCTACACAAAACACACATGGGCTGAAGTGGCTGAATGGATTTCTCGTATGGTTGATTATCAGTACGCATCAACGCATACATTATCATCCACCATTCTGTCTCAGATGAATATTTTCGTCTGAAATCATTGTGTCATATAGATATAATTGAGAGATTTTTCAGATAGGGTATCAATTTGTCCCCATATTTCATTTAAAAACTACCTTCAAAATGGCATACAGACGTCATTTTGAGCGATACATTTTTCTTATCGGACTCAAAATGTATGAATAAGGAATGAAAAAATCCCAGTGAGATCGGCTTTTCTAGAGAAAAGGCATGCTTGTGTTTTGCTTGCATTGAAATCTATATACCAAGTTATTGGATCCCCATTCGAGAATTGTTGCCAAGTCCATATTTATGTTGTCAACATTTCTTCCTCGTTCGTTTCTGATTTGCCTGGCTGGTATTGGAGCCCTGGAAGAGAAGGCGGTATGGAGGATACTATCATCCGCGAAGCTGTGTACTAGACATGAAGTTGCTTCCAACAAATCGTTTATATAAAGTAGAAATAGTGTTGGTGCTAGAATTGATCCTTGCGGAACACCAGCATTTATGGTAAGAGAGTCAGATGAAACTCCGTCGACCACTACATGGAGAGACCTGTTTGAGAGAAAACTAGCTAGCAGAGAAATAGCTGGGGAGGCAAGCCATAAGATGGAAGCTTGGCGAGGAGTCCGTGGTGCCAGACTCGATCAAATGCTTTGGAGATATCAAGTGCCACGGCTAAGGTTAAACCATATTTTTTTTTTTGCCTTTTTAGGAACTGGTTGTACTCTTTCAATTTTCCAGTTTGTAAGAGTAGTTGAACAACTTGCAGAGAACAGGTGTTAGTTCGGGAGCACATTTCTTGAGAACAATCGGTGGGATTCCGTCGGAGCCACAAGCTTTGTTGGTGTTGAGACCCAATAAAATCTTCCTTATAGTACGTTGGCGAAAGGTGATCTCGGGCATATAATTGTCAATTGGCGTTATGTTCGGAGGTTGTTTTCATGATGAATCCAGAGTTGAATTTCCAGCAAATAGATGCGCAAAAATGTTGGATTTCTCCTAGGCAGTTGTGGCCAGTGTACCATCTTCCTTGGTTAGAGGAGGAAACGAGCTGGAAGTGAAGTGATGATAAATGTTACTTGATAATTATTGTTAAATGTTGCTGCATAAATCTACCTTGACTTTTCTTCATGTCGACAGGGCGAGAAAGGAGAAGACGGCGAAACGGGCACGACGGGCTCGCCAGGGCCGGTCGGGCCACGCGGCCTGCCAGGCATCCCGGGCCTGCCAGGCGCAAAGGGCCACCGCGGCTTCCAGGGCCTGGACGGCGCCAAGGGCGAGCAAGGGGCGGCCGGCGAGAAGGGCGGGCTGGGGCAGGCGGGGCCGATGGGGCCAGCGGGGCCGATGGGGCCTGTGGGGCCGAGGGGAGAGCGGGGCAGGGAGGGGCCGCCCGGACAGCCGGGGATGAGGGGCATCGACGGGATCGCCGGGCCGCCTGGAATGCCGGTGAGTAGGTTGCTTTGGATCTAATAATAATAATAATAATAATATTTATTTCCACGATATACAGGGTCATTCCGAATATTCAAACAGCTTCAACAGGGTTTATCATTGAAGATAGAGAAAAACTTTGAATGCAAAAGTTGTAGTGTTCATTCTGAACCGAGTTTATTGACAAAAAACAAAAATAAGAATTTAACTTTGACACTCTGTATCTCAGAAACGGATAACTTTCGGACATATGTTTATACGAACTTTTCTTCTCATTTTGACTTCAGCAACATGATCCTGAATTTTATACACGTACTTAAGAAACACCGTGTATAATTGGACACTTTCAAAGGGAAAGTCCTATTTCCAAACTAGATGGACGAAAACTGATGTAGGTGTCTGATGGTCAATTTTTATGACAAACTTGATAGTGAAAACCGCACATCGATATCTATCATCGTTTCTGAGTTACAGCATGTTTTTTGATAATGTACATTTTCGAAAACGAACTCAAACGAACAAAACGGGGTTACTTTCCAGGTGACTTAGGCGAGCTAACATGATTTGAGCCTTGATTTTCCTGGTTTTATAGTGAAATTCGTTCAAAAATTTACGGAGCCCTGGAAGGGACACATAAAACAAAAAAAATAAACTCTTCAAAATTCTGAGTTATAACTCGAAACTTTGAAATTCCGATCTATATCTCGGAATTTTACATCCGAAATTCCGAGTTATAAGTCGGGATTTTGAAATTCTAACTTATATCTCGGAATTTTACATCCAATATTCCGAGTTATAACTCGGAATTTTGAAATTCCGGGATATAAGTCGGAATTTTGATGTAAAATTCCGAGTTATAAGTCGGAATTTCACATCCAAAATTTCCAGTTATAACTCTGAATTTTGAAATTCCGAGCAATAAGTCGGAACTTTGATGTAAAATTCCGACATGGAATTTCGAAATTTTGTGTTATAACTCGTAATTTTGGATGTAAAATTTCGAGATATAAGTCGGAATTTTAGAATTCCGAGTTAAAACTCAGAATTTTGGAGAGTTGATTTTTTCAATTCATGTGTCCCTTCCAGGGCTTCGTAAAAATTCTACAAGCATTTCTCATATTTTCATTCAGTGGAATTGAACTCGAATATTACACAAATTGAAGTGCAAAAGAGGATTTTGATATTTTCAGAAATAGGCTTCAACATAACATTTTCTTCTTATTTATCTTGCAAGAATCAAATTCATTTGACATCGCAGATCACTTGAAATTAAGTGCAGATTGAAAAAATCAGATGTCCGTGAGATATCATTTGAATCTAATTGATTTTTTCACTATCATCAACTTCAGTCAAATAAGATCTTACTCAATTCATAAATTACTTCAACACTCTTCTCACACTTTTGCTATTCTTCCTATGCTGTTCTAAGTTGTCATTGTTACAAAGGTGAAGTACCTAAGAATAAACCTGGTCTCATATGCATTTGTTGCGATCGAATATATAAATTGTTCACTGTCCTATATTGAAAGGAATTTCTCCTTCCTATCCTAGGGCCTATCATTCGTTCTCGCTACTCGTAAATACTTGTTATATAAATCTTTTTCAAAAAACTGTCACCCATGATACCCTTTTTCGAAATGACAAAACACCAACTAGTTTCAATAATGATAATGAATGTGTCATAAATGGAATGAATCGAAACCTGTTAGACGATATCATTTTACTGAACGATATTTGGAATCAATCATCTGGTAACTGATATAATATTTTTGTGGTAGCTTTATATAGTACACCATATAAGCTATACCATATCTTCTTCATTGTTATATAATTTCAATCAACTATATATAATTATTTACTCACCTATCTGCATTCACCAGGTGTGATTATGGAGATATATTTATTTGAAATAATTTGCAGGGGTCTATTGGGAAATCAGGAGCACCCGGTTTTCCGGGTACCCCGGGTGCAAAAGGAGACCAAGGATCACAAGGCCCTAAAGGGAGTCAAGGATTCCAAGGACCTAGAGGCGAAGCAGGCCGTCCAGGCCAACCCGGAGAATCAGGACCACCAGGTCCCTCAGGAAAAGATGGATATCCTGGAGAAAAAGGAAGCACTGGAGCTACCGGTATGGTTGGAGGGCCAGGCTTTCCAGGAGCGAGGGGACCACCAGGGTTAGCAGGAAGTCCAGGCCAACCAGGAGCAAAAGGAGTAATTGTAAGTTTATATTATTTGGTACCTTCACTTAGTGAGAATAATGTTCAGTCAAGTACCTGCCTCATTTAAGAATACTGACAATCTGAATGTTTCATATAAGGAGGTATTCATTTAGCATTCAACAATTCATCAAATGATATTTCGGTGGTCAAAGAATTTTTCTGAGAGATTTGCGAAAATTTAGGTTCTCTGTGAGTTTCTTCGGTGGAAGATGTGTCATGAAAAGCTAACACCAACTCACAGTACCAATTTCATTTGAGGATCCAGAAATAAGTCCGTAATTATGTCTACAAGATTGCTGGATCTGTCAACCTCCACCTGAGGAACCAAATCTGGTCATGTACGGCCATTTGAAGAAATTTCATGACTAGGTTTGCTGCTTCAAAACTGTTTCTGAGAGAATAAACCGTGTGTAGAGGGCCATTCTGCTTTAATGCTGACTCAAAATATGACCAAATTATAGGATGCACTGATTATCGAATACGTAGTGGGTTATATTCCGTGATTTACTTTTTATAGGGATTACCTGGTGAGAGGGGTTACAAAGGAGAATCCGGTATCAAAGGAGAAATCGGATCGTCAGGCCCACGTGGTCTGCCAGGGGCAGAAGGGCCCGAGGGAAAACGAGGGAAACGAGGAATGAGGGGACCAGCTGGACAGCCAGGTCCACAGGGAGAGCGTGGGCTTAACGGAGTACCAGGATTACCAGGACCAGACGGAGCACCTGGAGCCAAAGGTATTTACCTACATAAAAGCTACACACGTATAAGTATGAGGAATAATTTAAAAATGTGTGCCTATATTCGAAAAGATTGATACGATATAGATGGTCAAATATTCATATTTTTCTATCAATAGATTAACCATATACATCTATATTCAGAGCTAAATAATCTTGATCATTAATTTCAAGAATATCGTGTATGGATATATTTTAGAACTACTGAATTGCTGAAGGGTGAGGAAAATATATCTGAAACCAAAATAATTTCAAAAATTTCATACGAATTATCTACCTATGGGAATACATCATATTTTTCTAGAAATGAATTCCATTTCGTTTGAATTGATCTTCTTTTCTTCATTATCATATCGTGATAGACTTTCTTGAATGATCGAATTATTTATAATTTCGTCTCAAGCGTAGGTACTTTCCGCGGGGTGGATGAGGAAGATATATCACCCCTCATAATAGAAAGATACCAAGTTACTTCATCAGTTGTTTTATGTATGTACGTATCGTATCTCAGGTCGCAAGTCGTATGAACCTCCTCACGACTGGATACTTCAGTCAAATAAGGCGAAGGGTTTCACCTCTGAATGGGAGATAATAAGCTAGAAACTCGTACTTGTACACCTACATTGTGACGTTCTGAAAGTTATCTCAGAAGTCTCATAATAGTTATTTATACACCTAGGTAGTAAAGAATATCATCATCACCCAGGGACCAAGATTATATCCAGAGGCTTCAGCCGCCGAGGGGTATAATAAGGTCCCATGGTAATAATATTCTTTACTACCAAGGTGTATATTAGATTTTTCTCACCTCTACCCTAACAACACAGGGATGTCCTAGGTACGTCCCTTTTTTGTCCCGCGGTACAAGGACATGATTGGGACATACAGGGGATATCCTGCAGTGGTTGTCCAGTGGACATCCCGCCCGGAACATCCCTAGGTTATCCTATTCGTGTACCTAGAGTATCTAATATCCATTCATATCAGAGTCATTGAATTTCATCAGACTATTGAGTTGAATTTTTTTGCAAATGTCTTTTTTTTTTCGGAAAATGATTGTAATGAAAATAAAGAATATAATCTCAGAACTTCTTAAGAGATTAACCACTTTTCGCAGACAGAAATCGTACATGCAAAATGTCCCTCATTTTTAAACACCCAAGAATGATAATAATTATACCCAATTCCTAACAAAATTTTTTTTGGGGGCTTCTTGGGTTTTGGATCCGTTTGTAGATTTAAAAATTGTAGGAATCCATAAAAACGTTTCGCCCATGGCCATATGCTTTGTCAATTTATTATAAGGACATGATGTTGAACATTGGAGTCAAGCTGTGAATTAAGAAATACAATTTGCATTTTGAAATTATGAAAGTGATCAATAGTATACGTACCTCAACCAAGTAGTAAAAGTATGTAGAATAATTTTTTTGTACTAATTTTTCTTTTTCAGTTTCATTGTTAAAGAAATTTGGATGTTTCGTTGATAAGGCATACGAAAAGCGAGGTAAAACGGAAAAGTGTTGGAGGTTAATTTGGAAACCAGAAGGACATCCCTTGAATGCCCTTTTTTGTGGCCAGCGGATGTCCCTGAGACATCCCTAGTATGTACGTTGTCCCGACAAAGGACATCCCTGGGATGTCCTAGTAAAAAATCAGGGACGTCCCTGGGAAGTTCCTAGGATGTACTGGTGTTGTTAGGGTGGCAATATATTTCAATCATTTCAGTTCTGTGAAACCGAAATATGGACCTAATATCACTATGAAAAGCACTATTTTCAATAATTAGCCATGACCATGACACCATATATTGACAAATAATAGAAATCTCAATTTTTAATGATATTCCGGTGATTTGATAACTTTATACAGGGTATTATTTACCTAGTTTCACAGATGATCTTGCATTACAGAAGTCTGTATGGCTGAGCTCTATGTTTTCTCTGGAGTATGGAATATTATTACGACTTACGATTAGGACTTGTGATTGAGATGCCTGAATGAATCCACCATTCTTATCTCTGGAATTCAATGGCATGGAATCCTTGTTGGGGATCTTATTAATATTAAGAAGTCCTTATTGGGGATTCTATATCGTTGGTTGTTGTGTAGGACTAGTGGGACACTAGAAAAAAACACCCTTATTATATTGGAACGCATCGAAATCTTTTTGGAGTACTTACTACCATTCAAGTAAGGCTCAAAGAATTCGCCATGCTGTCAACTCATAAAACATGAGTTTTATCTGTTCAAGAAATACTTGACGAAATTGCTCCCAGATCAAGGCACTTGAATTTAATAAGGATATACTGAGAATCATTGTAGTTATCTACTATAATGATGAAAATGGTGGAAAACATAGTTAATCTCCCAAAGTACACTTCCACATACGCCAGTATCACATGCATCTTATATCCTTCAAAAAAAGAAACGAAATTATTACAATAATTATCCTTCTCCAGGTCAATCAGGAGAGAGAGGTTCACTAGGACCCATTGGCCCGAAGGGATCTCAAGGAGAGATCGGAAGACCAGGTCAACCAGGTTTACAGGGTCTAAGAGGTATTTCCGGACGTCCAGGACAATCAGGGAAAACTGGATCACCAGGTGAAAGAGGTCTACCGGGGCAAGATGGAAAGCCTGGAGAAGCTGGACCACAAGGAATCCAAGGATTGCCAGGACCATTTGGGCTACCAGGAGATAAGGGATTGACCGTAAGGATGATGGATAAATATATATCGAAATCAGAACCAAAACAAATATTTGCTGACTAGCCTTCGACGTTAGTATTCTCGAAATTTCCACTCAAAGTTCGAACTGAATAGCGTTCATTGAACATGATCAACAATTTTCTTCAGAAATAAAGAACAATATAATATTCTTTTCACCTTAGGGAGAACCAGGAAAAGATGGTGAAGCAGGTCCAGTAGGTCCAATGGGACCTAGAGGAGATGCTGGAAAAGATGGGCAGGCTGGACCTTCAGGACCCCCTGGTCCTCCAGGCGTTGATGGAGAAAGAGGTGCCCCAGGTGTTGATGGACCAAGAGGATTCCAGGTAAAATGAATAGCTAATATCATATTCGTTCTTCAATGCAACTCTGAATGCATCGTGGGTTCCTCATCAGATATATTCATCATTCATACTTGAATTGATTTCTAGGGACTTCCTGGAACTCCTGGCAACCCCGGACCATCAGGAAAGGATGGGGAGCCTGGAGTTCAAGGGCAAGCGGGCATACCAGGATCCCAAGGATCTCGAGGAGAAAGAGGTTTTCCAGGAGAACGTGGCCCCATAGGCCAACCAGGCGTACCTGGAGTAAAGGGATCCATTGGAGCGCAAGGAATCGATGGACCACCAGTAAGATTTCTTTTAAAATCATCACAGGAAGATTTTGTTGCATCAAATTGATAATGTGAATGTTTTGATGGATTCAAGCGATTTCGAAATATTTGGAGAGCTGACCTTGATTCCCCTGTAGCAATGAATAGTACAGTAAAAAAAAATTTCCTCTTGCTGAGAATCTCAGGACTTGTCCATAGATAAGAAGTTGGCGATATTCTGATACATTGATACATCCACTTATCGCGCTCCCATTGCATCGGTTCTGAAGTATGAGTCATTTGATTTTATGGTGTCTGATTCAGAATCCATATTATTCTTGAAACGAATATTAGGAAGCTGAACTAGCTTACGCATATCACGCATCATTATGTGATGTTATGTTTGTTACATATCCTTTAAATCATATTGTTTCAATTTTGCATCCAAATGCCGTGCAAAATGGTTGATGGAAAATACTACCTACTTCATATGTTTTAAAAAGTCATGTATATAAGAATTTTCCTACGTATACTCATGTGTACAGTATTTTTTATATTCATGATAGCTTTTAGCGGCCGACTACTATTTTTTTTTTTAAGATAGTATGGTTTCAAGTAATACAGACGTCTAAAAGTTGATGAGGAAAATAACTGAGAATCAAAATCTAGGTCTTTAGTCTGTATCATAACTTTTCTGACGTATCTGTTACTTAAAACCTACTAGAGCCGGCTATGAATATTGAAATTTGGTATTTTGGTTGAATATTATTTTGAACATCTTTTTTTTCCTTTCCCATAAGAGAAGCACTTCGAAGAAAATATAGGTGTTCTTCAAAATTCACTAGGCATAGTTGATTTCTCATTACTGGAAGTTCCAAATTTGTTTCCAGCAAGAAGGGCTGAACTAAACTAGCCCACACTCGAAATGAGACGAGCAAAAGTTTTAATAATTTTCGAACCGACATAACTTGAGATTTTATTGAGTACATCGTAAGTATTTTTTTTGTATTTTCGACATGAAAACCTACAAGGTGATATCTGGAAATATGATAATTTTCGAAAAGTGCGAGATCGCCCCGTTTGGCAGGATTGTTTTTATGTTCAATTGAAGGCGATAAGATGAAGCATAATGGGTTTTCTCGAAATAATTTTCAATCAAGGAGGATTCATACAGCGGATGTTTTGATATATGGAATTTTTTACATTCTATCACACTCTCATATGTTCAACCAAGATGAAATCAACTTCAACAGAATTTTAGATCAACTTGTCCTACTCAACGCTATCATTATACAATGTGTTGTACATTTTTAAACATACCGGGTATTTTTAGACAAACCATGGTTTCCAAGGTATGAGATTCAGATGTGGCAGGGGTGTAGGATTCGAGAATTGGTCAATTTTGCAATAGTCCATACTCTACCATCACTTTCTGTTTGACCGGAAGCCACTACAACTTTTGATGTTCAAAGGGACACGGTGTATTTCATTCCACAAGTGGTTAGAGATTATCATAACAAATTCAACGCTACTGGGCATGATAGTTGATGTCGAACGATTACGAAATATTCGTAATTTTTAGGAATAACCCTATATCATACTCGAAGACCATAGGGGGAAAAGGGGCTATGTCAGAGTGTAGTGGAAATTGACTTGACCCGGCCTTCTGACCACTATATTTCAGTATAAACAGAAGTCCATAGCAATAACGCAGCATAGTCAGCTAATAGGTATGCTCGTTCGAAAATAAGTTCACATGGAAAACACGTGGAATGTCCATTTCAAAAATGTGAAGAAAGGTGAACGAAAAAAAAATGAGATACGGCTACTTTTTTTTTCATCTCTTGGAACGTACGATAGGGAATCCCTAAAATGTTCGGGGAACATTGTGGGTACCTAAGGAGGATAGGGAGAGGAAGTAGGAATCGGGATTTTTTTCAACTTTTGGAGATCATAAGTTCTTGGAAATACTCTGTTTGGCAAAGAATTCCGAAGCTCCGCCGTTCTATGTATAAACGAGTTTTGGTAAAGAGTTGTTCGATATATTTCGAGGTTGACGACAGAAGGGTGTGCTGACTAGGCTTGTCGAGTACGTCTGAGTGATGGGAATAAAATAATTCGATTGCTACATGATGATTTCTACTCATATCGCATGAAATTTATAGAAAATTATAGAGATGCTAGATGTACTATATGACAAGTAAGGCAAGAATGGAGAAATGTACCAGAGCAGATATTTGCGAGTAAACAATCCTTTTCTTTGACAATTTATTTGGACATTTCCCATTTTTCCTATGAATCTTCGGACTTATTTTTTGTTTTCGATGATTTTTTCATTCAAATATTCCATTCATTTCTAGTTGTTCAACTTTATTGCTCATTATACTCCATCAAATGAATCCAGGTGGTTTGATTTCAGTTTCCTCCAACTTTCAAAAAGTTAAGAGATTTTAATCTTTGAACTTTGAACATTCGAACGCGAATATATTCGTCAATTTTCGAAATAACCCTATATCATACTCAGTATCGTTGAATTTGTTATGATGATCCTTAACCACTTATGGAATGAAATTCAGAGTGTCTCATTTGAAAATTGGAAGGTGGGGTCGTTTCCGGTCAAACCGCAAGTGGAGTAGTGGAGTGGATTTTAGAAATGACTCCGATTGATTCAACACTTTGATTAGCAATATTATTATAAATTTGATGATACCGCGTGCAGTGGTGTCAATTCACACCTTCACAGTGAAAAATCACACGGATGTGGTAATTTAGAGGGGTTCAGAAATATCCATTCCAAAGAAACACCAAAATGATGAAAAGTAATTACTTCGATAGTGGTATTATTCGAGTTAACGCAAAAAATACACTTATTATATGAAATTAACACTAGCATTACACTCTGACCAATCACAAATAAATCAAAACCGTGTATGAATCATAAGATTTGGGGCTAATATAATTGACTCATCATCCTGCAATATTCCATGTGAATAAATAATGTTGCTGATGTTGAAATTACCCCATGAGGAACCCAATCTCATTGAAGTATGGATAAAAATTGTGTAGGTATATCATCATCCACGAATTCTGGTATCCAGATTGATAGGTGACAATCAGAACGAATGATTTCGTGAAAATAATGCATTTAATGAATTTTAAGTTTATTCATCAATTATTTCATTATATATGATGATTTTGAGACTGCGAAGCTGTATATATAGAGTACTTATATCGAACCAGATTGAAACATACAATTGAATAAGTATAAATTTTGTGCACAGAAAAAAATTGAGTAAATATCTTGATAGATGGCGACACTAGAGCTCCTTCGACGCTCGTCTCTCGACAGCATTCAAATAGTATCAGCTCAGAGATGGTATGTACGTCTCAACTCTCACTATAATGAATCATTTCATACACTGAATACTGTCAGTATATCAGAGTCGTGTTATTCAACACTCAGATGCAGACAAGAAAGCACCGCTTCTCAGCGTGATAACACTCAATAAGTGTGTTTTCACAACAGAAAAATATTCGCATATCATAATATCAGTTGAAGCAAAAACGCAACAGATACAGTATCAATATAATTACCAAATGATAGTATAGTACACCACTTTGGTGTTGAATAACACGAACCGATCAAATTAGCATTAGGTAGTAGGTACTCTAGTCTAGTTCTTGACTGTATGTAAAAACGAATGACACCCCATGATGGTGTTAAAAATATCAGTGTTAATCCTCACCAAAATAATCAGGACCTCAGGGGCCCCCCAAGGGTGTTAGCTGGTGTGAACTGGTTTCATTTATTCTTTTCATTGTGTAGATATCGAATATCGACAAATTTTTCAACTCTCCAGTCCAACACCTCTGTCAAGTATATTTCACCGATTTTCAATAAGTCTAAGGTTCTTCAACAATTATGAATGCTTTATTGTTAGGGTCCTTCGGGTGCTAGAGGCATGAAGGGGCATTCAGGGCCACCGGGGCTCGTTGGTTTGCCCGGACTTCGAGGCCAACCGGGCCCTCAAGGCCACAAGGGAGATCATGGATCGCTAGGTCCCATCGGTCCCGAAGGTCCCCAAGGACGCCAAGGAGATCGCGGACTTCAGGGTCTAATGGGTCCACCAGGTATGTTGATATTTTTGCTTTTCACAATTATGAAATCATCGTTATCGTTATAATTAGATAATGAAATCTATCACATCTTCCATGGTATGACAGATAGTAATTTATTATTTAGTTATTTATTGTTACTCTGTTCTACAAGAATATAGGTTACTACTAATATAGAGATTTGTATAGTTTCAGAATCACATAATCTTCATGGCATGTCTAGCTCTAGCTTTAGCTCTATTACCCCACTTCTTTTGATCCATGACCTATAAGATATCCTGTATATGACTGAAGAGATGGGTTCCAAATCAAAGAAGCATATTCTAGTTTTGATCTAACAAAGGCAAAGTATGGCATCTGTGGTATGGCGTTTTTGATGTGGCTGGATCAGAAAAATTTTTGGAGATCCGCGCTATGAATCCGTCCATCCTGTTTGCGGCAGACAAAATAGCTTCAAAATGTGGCGCGTAAGAAAGATTAGAGTCAAAAGTTACACCGAGGTCGGTAAACATAGATGGCTGTTGAAGAAAAGTAACATTTATGTCATATTGAAATAGAATGAGCTGATTTTTTGTGAATATATCATTATATTACATTTTTTAGCATTTAATGGTAGATTGTTACGGGAGCACCACTGTTATTAAACGCTTTTCAAATTGAAAAGGAGTCGCTCACAATCCTCGATTTCATTTATCTTCCAATATACAGGGTGTCCGGAAATTATGCGCAAAAAATCAAGGGGCTGATTCTGCATGAGAAAACATGAAATTTATTTCATAAAAACGTTGGTCCATAAATGTATATTTTGAAACGAGGATAGGCATGATGCATAATATTTTGTAGTTATTTCGAAAGTGAATGAGTATAATCCATGGCACACTTGACAAAAGTAAATTATTATGAAGTATTTTCGTCAGTAATATTTAATTTATGTTCTTATTTGTAATCCAATCGCAAATAAATTAGTATCGTTAGATTCGTCAAAATATCATTTTTTTGGGAAGTGCTTGTCAAAAAATGGTCGCCATTTGAATAATAATAGTTAGACACGAAAATGTAATTTTGCCAAGTTGTCTTATTCATATCTATCATACTTGTCACTAGAACTTCGCGATTGTAATTCTCTGATATCACCTGAGGTCCTTAGATTAGTTTACTTCAAATCATGGCCACATAGATGTAATTTCAAAAATTAAGTAGGCATAAACACTTTCGAAAATGTCACATTTTGATCTAGAATTGTCTCAGAAATCCAAGAATTTTACAATATACAGGGTGTTCCATTTAAAAATTTAGAACCAGAGCCATTTCCGGTGAAACCAGAAGTGACCGGAAAGTGGAAAATAACGCTCCTCTTTACATACCATTCACCTATACCAAATCTCATTTTGATACACTTAATGGTCTAGAAGTTATGACTTGTCTAATAGATTTGTTGACACCCGGTATAATGTCATTTCATCATCAAATGACGGTCGAACAATATTATCAAGACATTCTTTACAGGACCCCCAGGCGAACCGGCAGCTCCGGGCGACCCTGGCCCGCCAGGTTTCCCCGGCGAGCCAGGCGCGCCGGGCAACCCGGGCGAAAGGGGCCCCGGCGGGCCGCAGGGTTCACAGGGCTTCCCTGGGCCGCCCGGCCTAGTCGGCTTGCCCGGGATCAAAGGCGAACGCGGGCTGACGGGCGGCAAGGGGGAGCAGGGGCGGCACGGACCGGTGGGGCGGCCCGGCGAGCCAGGGGCACAGGGGCTTGTGGGGTTGACGGGGGCCAAGGGGGCGAGGGGAGAGTCGGGGCCGAGAGGGGATGCGGGGATCATGGGACCGCCGGGCAGGCCAGGAGAGCCTGGTCTAGCTGTGAGTATTACTCGGAAAAAAAGGATTTGTTGCATCAACAAATTATTTATGGAAAGCTATATGCCACAGAGAATATTGAATTACATCTATTGAACACACACGATAAGAATTTGAAAAAATCTTGTGAAGTAGAGAATTTGCATTCTCCCTCATATAAAGATATGCATATAATATAATTCTGAATATTCAACAGAAAACAACTACTTTCCTGGCTATTTGCCACGTCGAACATTGAATTATATCTCTTGAATATCCAAAAAGAGAGCATGAAAAATCAAACTCCTCTAAAATTGAGAATTAACATCATCTCTCAAATCGAATAGAATAATATGATGTATTATGATATTAAAATATAACTTACCAATATGTTAAGTATTGAAATGGAAATTAAAATGTATAGAAGAAGTATCCTCGTATGAACTCTGATCTTCATGAGCTTGGATCTTAAAAAAAAATCATTCGTATCAGTGATATGGAAATTATATCTCTCACAGACAGGTTATATGAATTCATTTCGGATATCATATCCTCATCAGTAACCTGAAGTCCAGTTATTCTTTCAGCCATTCTTCATGATAAGTTATATTTTCATATCATACTCCATCATATTATTCTATTCGATTTGAGAGATGATGTTAATTCTCAATTTCAGAGGATTTTGAATTTTCATGCTCTCTTTTTGGATATACAAAAGATATAATTCAATGTTCGATGTGGCAAATAGCTAGGAAAGTTTGTGTTTTCTGTTGAATATTCAGAATTATATTATATGCATATCTTTCTATGAGGCAGAATGCAAATTCTCTACTTCAGGAGATTTTGTTTTCAAATTCTTATCGTGTGTGTTCAATAGATGTAATTCAATATTCGTCGTGGCATATAGCCAGGAAAGTAGTTGTTTTCTGTTGAACCGAGAAAGAATTGATATTTTCATCACATGGAGAATGCGAATTCTCAATGTATTTCTTCATATATACAGGGTGATTCAGGTTTTAAGACACAAACTGAAATGGGAGATAGATCTCATCATTTTAATCAAAAAAGTTTATATAAACATTAGTCCGATCTCGTTCAGTAGAAATTCTCGATTCTTCGTGGTTGAAATATCAGCTGGATAAATCGAACTTAGGGTGATTAGCAATCCGAAATAGTTTTGCATCAGCATCAAGAGAAGTAAAGACTGAAGATCTATGCTAGGAGTCAACTATAGTTTCCTAGTTTTGTTTATTCTATTGATGTGAATATTCAGAAAATTCCCGAATATTGAATTTGGTTCAACATAACTAATTTGTCGAATGGATATAGTTTCTCTTGAATCAAACAAATATTTCTTTGGATCAACCAACTATTATATATCTAGTTGAATCAACTAAATATTTGATTGAATCAATATCTTGTCATTTTGAATCGAACAAAATGATTGTTTGAGCCAATTCAATATCTCTCCATAAACAATTCATGGATGTGCTTGATTGAAGAAGATTCAGAGAGTTCATGCAAGACATATTTTCATGATTGAAACTTCAAATTCGCTCTGAAATAAGATATAGATTTACTCATTTCAAGATTATATTTTGTCGTGCATATATGACACTTTTATTTGCTCCATTCAATTAAATTTTGCTTGATTCAACAATTCCTTTTTTCCCGTGTATGATTGAAATAGTGTTTTGCTGCAACCGACTCAAAAGTCGTCCATTCCAATTCAAAAATAGAGCATTGCCAGTGACGTCATATGACGGCCATTGAACACCTGATGTGGGGACAAGCATACACATTTTCCATAAGGGTACATGTAACTTTCTTGCACATTCACCACTAAAATACAATACCTGGAGCATTTATTCATTGACATGTTTGTCAATTCATTCATCAATCCTGTGAGAAAAGTGAATGAGTCCAAAGAAGAGGTCAAATTGGTTTATTTGTCAATTTTAAATTACCGGATTTACTTGAGTTCAGCTCTAATATACCTACCTCAATAGATACTATACTCATTTTGAAAGAAAATGACATTCTTCTTGTATAATATCTACAAATTCAACAAAATCACCAATGGGTGAAATAATAAAATCAAAAAATTCACAGTCACACACAGCTTTGTTTGTCCCCCGATCAGCTGACGAAAACGACGAGTGCGCCATGTTGTGACGTCAGCAGACTTTGCTCTATTAGCTCTTGAAGTTGACGTTTTCATTACTGACACAAAAATATGTATCAAATAGAGAGAAACTCACAGTCATTACCAAAATAGTTCATAAAATTAACGAAAATAGTAGGACCTGGACCAAAATGACATTTATTTTCAGTATGGGCCGTCGTAGTCAAGAAGTTATTCATGCCAGAGGCGGAAATACTCGCTACTGACACTATAGTTTAACTTGATCCTTCTGTTTAGTTTTTTCGTTGTTAAATGTGGATACTAATTTTCCATAAAATCATTTTACGCTATAAAATGATATTTCTCAAGTAAAAGGAAAGATAATGGAGTAACTTCGAAAAAGATGTTGAAAAAAGATGAGGCTGAATTGTGATTCAAATTCTAACTTGATAGTGTAACTGTTACACTTTACAGGGTAGGTATTACACATTTTATGAACGAAACACGCAATTATTGCTACACCCGGTATGTATAAAAAAAGGGTTTCTGTGCGAATACAGTTCGCACACCAATGTTCAAAAGATGACATGTCTATAAAGAAAATCGTAATCATCGGACAAATAGTTATGACGAACATGTATCTTAAACTTCTGGCTACTTTCTAGTTTCTGGTGGTACATTAATTTCTTGGGGACGTCTATATTGATAATGTATATGATTGATTTTAATGTAAATATCTCTCAATATATGAGTACTTCTCTACATTGCCTGAGGAATCATATGAACGAACGCTCAAAAATTATAATATACTTTCACCAAACCAAAATTTATGAATCTAGGTATACTTATTGTTAATTTTGGCAAAAAGAAAAAAGAACCTGAGCATTTTTCTGAGAAAGGCGTTGGGCTTCTTTGCATTACCTGAGCTACATAAGATGCTGTCTGATAATGGTGAAGAAATTTTCTCACTATTGGAAACTGCCTCTGCTACTGTTCCCCAAACCACTTTCATGGATCCAGGCATTTTTGTTTCCATGACTGACTACCCCTGAAAGATAATATTTGAACTAACTAAATTCCCCTAGAACCTCTCAGTTTTGAAATTCTGGGATTTTCATCATTTGTCAGTGATACATCGAATCATTTCCTCACAGTAGTAGTAAACTACATTCACTATTTTCAGATTGATCAATCGCTTGTACTATGACGAGAGCAGTGGCCAGAGGCTCATTATGCTCAGAATAACAAAGGTTTCACTTTGTGTCTCATATAATCGGTTACGACGTTCATTCTTCAAGTATTTGTTGTTCTCATTGAGTCTATAGTAGAAGATCGAAATTGATGTCAGATTGATATTCCAGGGAGAAGCAGGAAGTACTGGAGCGCCAGGTCCTCAAGGCATCCCAGGCATTAAAGGAACCAGCGGGGATCAAGGAAGGCCGGGCTCACCAGGTCTCCAAGGCCTCCCAGGAGCGCCTGGATTCGAAGGGCCTAAGGGTGAAACAGGCGGAGAAGGTCCTCCAGGCCCTGCAGGCCAAATCGGCCCGCAAGGTCCAGCAGGTGACAGAGGGCTACCAGGACTGCCTGGCGCACCAGGGTCCACCGGTATGATCGGTCCTAGGGGAGCCCAAGGAGAGGTCGGTGTTGCCGGAAAGCCAGGAAGTGAAGGGCCTCCAGGACCACAAGGATTGACCGGCCCTTCAGGACCACCTGGGCCCAGTGGTGATCAAGGGCCTGAAGGACCAACTGGTAAACCAGGGCCACCAGGTATCGCTGGAAGGACTGGGGATAAGGGACCGCAAGGAAATCCTGGACAGTCTGGAAATAATGGACCACCTGGACTACCGGTAAAGCATTTCTTGGAACTGATTCCAATATACCTATTTTTCTGAAAGATGAAGTGAGTAATGAAGCATTGAAGTGCATCAGGGTAGCAATGGTGCCTATTCATATACCAAGTTACAGGAGGAAGTGTTCAAAGCTTTATCAAAGAAAATGGGGAAGCGAGGCGGCGAGAATATAGTCTCTTAGACAGTGGTTTATATATCAGTTTTTCCAGTCTTAGCATACATTTTTCTGACATAATGGTTTTTCACATTGAATCTGCAATACTCTGTGCATAGTTAATATTGTCATTCAAATTCGTTGAGACTGTTGAGAGCTGTCAGATGACTAACATTTCACATCAGAATCAAATCAGAGAGAATAGATGATTGCTTTTATTATCAATTACACCTTTTCCAGTTGTATTTTCTAGGAAGCGTCAATTGTATTTCAGAAGAGTCACTTGTATTTCAGAAAGCATCAATTGTATTTCAACGTGTGGATTTGAATACTTGTAGTGTGAGCACCACATGAGTTCCACACTGGTCCATCGGATATTATCTTTCGACAGGTGCGAAATATTCTCGAAAATATTGACGCTCTGCCATACTAACTCAGATCAGTTCGAATCCCAATTTATTTGCTTTTTGTTTTAACTCGTTATCACATTACGGAAAGTATATGTCCGGAAAAACGGGAGCAAATTAATCACTGTGCCGTGGATTTGACTTAGATTAAGGAATGGTACAGTTACGTTTTTGAGATATATCATTCAATTGGTATCAGAAGGCATAATTCTTATCTCGTTTTCGAATCGCGAAACTGACTGCAAACTACCGCACAGGAAAGTGCAATTTCTTAATCATTTTATTCAGGATATAGTGATTGGCACAGGTGTTGTTCAATGAAATTTAATGTTTTCACGTGCCTTTGCAGCATATAACATTTCGTTATCGAAATTTGTAGCTGGCTCTCCATCAGGAAAGTAGTTGTTTTCTATTGAATAAACTGAGAAAGAATTATTCCATCACATGAAGAATGCGAATTCTCAATGTATTTCTTTATTTATATATCCATTTTTTCGTATTCATAATATCTGAGAATATTCGTTTTCAAAAAAAAATGTAATAACGAGATGAAACAAAAACCAAATTTCCCTTTGCTGAAAATAAAACTGATTTAAGTGAGTGACCGAGCGTCCCAGAAATATGGTTTTCTATTTCGGACCTGGAGCTATCCCACTTCCAGTCAGCTGTTTATGATCTTTAAGGCACAGATCTGACATGTCCTGGAATACTGTTCCTATATTTGGAGTGCAGCACCCAAAACTGTTGGATTCTGTCCAAAAAAGGGCAATTCGTCTCGTGGGTGATGCCTCGCTCACAAACTCCCTCACTTCTCTGGAACACTGTAGAAAAGTTGGCGATCTGGCTCTATTTTATAGATATTTCCATGGACGATGCTGTCCTAAAATATCAACAATTGTTCCTTCCTTGGCAGTCCCCGCGAGATTAACCCGTCGAGTTGAGGCTTCGCACCCCTTCGTGGTCACTTTGGAGACCTGTAGAACATCTCTTTCCACATACTCGTTCATCCAACGAACAGTGAGGCTCTGGAACACATTGCCAAGGGAGGTGTTCCCCGTGGCATATAACCTCCATAAATTTAAGAAGAACACCAAATCCCACCTTATTTCCCTAGGTTTTCACGGTGTTCTCTAAACATAACAGGATATCCCTTTTCGTGGGAACCAGAACATAAAGAAAAGTAGAACGACAAAGCTTTGGGATCCTTTGCCAAGAGAGGTATTGCCGAGAACTGATAATTCATAAAAGTTCAGAAAAGTTCCAATACCTATACCTTCTCTGCCGATCTTCCCATATCCTTCGAACATTATGGGGATCCCATTCCGTGCGCTTTATGAGGTAAAAAATCCAACCAATTTCCATTTCGTAAACAAAATAAAATATTCACTGATTGATCGGTGTTCAGGGCCCACCGGGACCAGTAGGCCCGCTGGGCCTGACAGGCGAACGAGGGCCTCGAGGCGAGCCAGGACCGCAAGGCAACGACGGCCAGCCAGGCGACCGGGGAAAACCAGGGGCGCCAGGCGTCGAGGGCGCCAAGGGGGACCGGGGAGAACTGGGCCCGATCGGACCAAAGGGCCACCGCGGTCTCATGGGCCTGCAGGGACTGCCCGGACTGCAGGGTCCGCCTGGCGAAAGGGGGTCGCCCGGAGACCACGGGCTGCCCGGGAAAGATGGGGAGACTGGTATGAGGGGACTCGCTGGTCAGCCGGGAAGCTCGGGACCTCAAGGTATCATGGGCCCGCCGGGACCCAGAGGGGAGTCTGGTAACGATGGTAGACCGGGGCCACCTGGATCTCCAGGTAAGGAGTTAAAGAACATTTTCAATTTAAAACACAGTGCACGTGATTTGATCTAAATGATACATGATTACATACAATAAGGTACGTTTATAGCAGGTCATATCGGTCAGGTTGATTATCAACAATTAATAACACTTATAGTCAAATAACATAGGTAAGTAGGTACCTAATTATGATACTACAGTAGTTATGGTGAAAATACCCCATCATGGAAATGCCAACGGATGGCATATTTCCTAAATATAGCTTTGAAAAAACTTTTGAAATAAGTATAAGTAGAGAGGTGTGGAAGGTAGGACCTCCTATCAATGCAGACATTGCTGTATGCATCTTCAGGAGAAGATTAAAACTGTTATCTTCTCCTGAAGATGCTAACATAGTAAGCGAAACACGTGTCGAGGCGTTTAGAAAATCGGTTCGGTTAGTGGTAAAACAGTGTAGTGTATTACCAAGGGTTCCAGTCTTCGATATATCAAGTCGTTATTGATAAATACGTACTAGATTCGAGTCCCATTTCTGCGAATATCGCATTAGAACATTGAATTCGGGTTGATTATAACAGAGGTCTATGTTATTATTGACGAAAACTACCTTCGTAGTAAAAACACACTTTACACCTTGAAAAGAAGTGAATAATGTTTGGTTCTACAGCTAGTGGTGGAAAAAATTTCTTCCAGCTCACCCTCTAGAGTGCACCATTTTTAAGATACATGGTGTTAAAAATTGAAAAATCTAATTCGGTTTTGCGAATATCTCTGGAACGATTTATCGCACTACTCATAATAAGCTATGTTTTATGCCAAATTTATTTATTTTTTGGTCATAATTGGTGAAGATTTCGAAAGGATAGTGAGTGGTTTTCTCCCCAATTTCTACTTCAGAAAAAGTACAGTTTTGAGCCGCTCATTTGAACCGCCAATGTTTTCTTCACAAAAAAGATACTCTTGGTAATAATCTCTAGTTTTCTAGAAAAATCAACTTTCATGTTTAAAGTCATGGTCAATTTTTTTGAAGAATTGCTGCGTTCATTGAAGCTAACCGCGGACATTTCCAACAATTATTAATTTTAATGAGTATGACTTTTTATTGTTGTTTTTTCAAATTTTTCAATAAATAAACGTTTGGTTTTTTTTTCTTGCTGCTCAGAATCGTACTTTTTCCAGTGGCATAGAAGTAGGGGAGAAAAACACTTACCACCCTTTCGAAATCTTCACCAATTACGACAAAAAAACAATGAATTCCGCACAAAACATGGCTTATTATGAGTAGATAATTCTTACGAAAGCTGTTTTATGTGGGATAAATGGTTCCAGAGATATTCGCAAGAAACGATTTTTTTTTCAAATTTCAACACCTTGTATCTTGAAAATGGCACATTTCAGAGGGTAAGTTGATAATTTTTTTTCTTTTCTTTTCAACAAGCTATCACTGAAGTCCTGTGCATATATTATGGAACACCCTGTATATCTTCTCCGAAGAATCAACGTACATGGATTAATCCAAAATAGCAGCTGTGAAACGCTCACATAATTTTTTTCAGATAAGTAGGTATAAGTTATATTACTTCGCTGGAAATTGTATCCACAATCGATGGTTTGGTCTCAAGTAGTAATGAGCTTATATTACAAAAAAAAATTATTTCATAATTCGAAGGAACTCACCCAAACTAGCTCACCACCGCAAACCGTTTCTTGCTGTGAGGTCCCTACGTTTTATGAAAAATTATTGAAATCCCCGATTTTTCGGACCTCTGAAAACGAGGCGATGATGTGACGTCAAAACCCTAATACTGAAACAAGACTATTCCAGACAGAGATGAATGATACATGAATTCTGACAGAGTGAATTAGCGCGCGATCACAGTTGAAAGAATTAATATTTCAGTGGCCTCAGTCTCCGTCGGGCGTTTGGTATTTTCTTTTAAGTATGGCGAGATGAGGTTTCTACGTCATAAGAGGGTCCGTTTTCAGAAGGTACTATTATTTATGTCCAAAAATAAAACATTCCAGTTAATTTTTCGATCGAATTATGTCGTCAATCATCAATTATGTATAAAAGGATCATTATAAACATGGTTTGAGTTAAAAGTTCTACTAAGGTGTACACGCCCATTGAGAACAAACCACGCCTTTATATATACTTTGAGAAATAAAATGACTAACATCATGTTTTTGTTAGAAGAACAAAATTTGTCGTTCTGAACAGAAACTCAGCGAAGTGAACCAGAAAACTTGTTAACTATACTCTTTCAATCCATAGGAGTTCAATCGTTGATACTGAGAATATGATTTCAGCAACTCTTATACATTTGGTAATTAATCAACTAGTAGTCGAAGTTCAACGTGTTGTAACAACAAGGTGCATGATGGATTATATCAATCGAAGAGTACTTCCAGAAAAGTATCACGAATTGTATTTGTATGGCTATATATTCCATAATTGAATACGACAATAGTCGTCTATCAACTTTATTATTCCCAAGGAACAACATTTGTTTATAGCAGGGAACATGGTGAATATAAAAATATATCTGAAAAAATAAAGAAGACAATGAAATAAAATAATACTCACACAAGAAGAAATCTTTTATTTCAATCTTCTTGACAGGAAAATGATCTGCTTGTCTAGTTGAATGGTTGTGATGACTACTATGAATAATAATGTTGTAATCGGAATTTTCGATATAAGATATTCCTTATAATTTACACTATAAATACAAAAATTATTCGCTGGGCCACGAAGTTGACTGGTAACGTGTGGATCAATTCAGCTTTTGTGAAGATACCGTGATAATGAGCGATGCTGGTTCTCGAGAACATTGGTTAAATAGACTCCATGAATATCTGTTATTCCAGGGTCACCAGGTCCAGCAGGTCCACCTGGAGAAGGTATAGGCTACGATGCCGCCAGCTTGGCTGCTCTTCTACAACAGGGCGCAAATAACCAGAAAGGTCCTGACCCACTGAACGATCAACCACCGAGAGTTTTCGGTAAAGAACTCACCGAAGAAGAGACAAGAGATTTGATCAACAAAGCCTATGAACAACTCAAGACCTCCTTCGATAGACTGAAGAAGCCGAATGGTCAAAAGACGTCTCCTGGAAAGACCTGTCGGGATATTGCTGCTGCATATCCAGAATCACAGAGTGGTGAGTAAATGAGATATCTACACAGCAAACGATCTCCCTTTACAAAATCTCAATAACTATACATATCCATAAACAAGACACACAAAGTCATCTCCACAAAATAAATTTTGTGGAGAATACTTTGTGTGTCTTGTTTATGAATCTATTCACTCCACTTTGAGATACCATGGACTTTTACCATAGATAAACTATACATATGTATAATACAGTGTGTCCATTCAGTGCGTAATTCTTCGATATCTCGAAATCCATCATCACTAGAGAAAAACTTTTGGGAACAAACTCTTTTCGTTATTGAAGGTTCCCATTCCAAAAATATTTCAACAATACTGGGTGTTTTATAAAAGCGGGGCGACTAGGAGACGAGTTTCATTAAATAGGACACCCAGTATTTTTTGTTCGGTATTTATTCCGCTGAGGTTTAGCTCTTCATCGCTGTAAAAAAAATTGAATTTGGTTGCGGCGTTGCTAAGTTATAATTGATAAACCCATTTTTACTACAATTGAAGGGTAATGTTGAATTGTCTATGGTATATTCATTTATCAAAATTTTCAAAATATTTTTGGCATACGGTAGAAGCAAGGTCTCACGTACACCGCCAGTTGATCCTTCACAGGGTGCTGAAATTTACATTCCGAATATTGTAAGATTCCGACGACGTTCATTAGAATTTTTCAAATGGAATACTCTGTATTTTTGATCATAGATTCATTTCGACATCATTCGCCTATTCATTGCTGAAAAGAAATCAATATCGGTTGCGGCGTTTTCAAGTTATGAGTAATTTCCTTATGTTTATCACTATCTCAGGGCTACTTTATAAGGCATGTGGTTCCTTTAATTGATTTGAGTGTGGGTATATTGCTTGCCACATGACATTGGAGGTTCTAGATAGATCATTCAGGTATTCTTGGAATATGTGCATTGTCCAAATTTGAAATATTCCGTAATCTCGTTACTTATGATTCAAATAATATGTGAAAAAAACGAACATGCCAAAAGCAACCCCTGCCTTTGAAACCACATCTACAATACAAACAATGGCGATTTGGATTTCGAGAATAAGGACAGTTTTTCAAAATTTGGACCACTTTGATTGTCGTTAATCCCACAATCCAAATCCCCATTTAACTTGAAGGAGGCAAACTCTACATAATGATACGAACAATATTTACTTTACTACGCGGGCTTCGGGAGGGAATTCAGCAAAATTTTAAATAAATTCAAGATATATTTGATAGTGGCGATGTTCGACAGGCAAAAAATCTGTGAAAGTAGCATTTTGGATCAATTTGTCAAAACCCAATCTGTTTTAAATTCAAACTTGAAGAGCTTGTGAATGTTCCTATTGTAAAAAAATATATGAATAGTTAATGAAGAAATTCATTTATACCGTAGCAACGCAATATTTTCACGATACAAATAAATGAATAAGGAACTATGACGTATACAAATTACTCCAAAATAGTAGTGAGAAGGAAATTATCGATAACTTGATAACGCCGCAACCGATTTATGATTTTTTTTCAGCAATAAGAAGGCGAAAGATGTCGGAATAGATTTGTGAATATCAATACAGGGTGTTCCATTTGAAAAATTCTAATGAATGTCATCTGAATCTTGCGAAATTCTAAATGCAAAATTGAGCACCCCCCAGCAAACATGATTTTTGCGGCCCTCTGAAGGTACAATGAAACTTGCCGGCGAGCGGTAACAGCGGTCCTCTATTGTACAACTAAATTGGGCCGGCTAGCCCGTGTCCCGGCGGCCGACAGCCGACCGCCTCTCTAGAGCCATCAGTATGCCGCTTATTACATTGCAGGGCTTCTGATGGGCAGAAGCAAGTACTCAAATGTACTGCATTCATGGCATATCTTCGGCCCGATTGAGACTTTTCAGAGACGGCCATTAATTGGCCGCTTGAGTATTTTTATTCCCCTGATAGAAGAGTTTTTCAGGGCCGTTGGTTAACGAGGTTGAATGAATTCAATATTCATGGTATTCTGTTTTTTGATGTCCCATTTTTCAACTAGGTTTGTCAAAAAATATACAGGGTAATGCATATATCTCAGTGAAAATAGGTTTTTTGATAGGTATCCCAGTTTATATCACCACTTGAAGAGCAAGGTGTCTTATTTTCACTCAGATTTGCATCACTCTCTTCATTTTCAAACTGGTTAAAAAATGTGGAACTTCAAAAAACAGAATTGAGAAGTTTTTTGTGAATTCTTTGGATATAACAGAAATGTGGAATTCACTTCTTACCTGAAGTTGTTGAATTATTACATAAAAATCTCTGAGATGGCATCCTGATATCACAGTTATTTCCAGGAAACTAGCAGTATAAACACCCCATACAAAAACAAGAACTGAAAATATCCATGTGTGTATATTATTGCCATGATCACAACCAATACATATCACAACTATGGAAACATCAAACATCTTAATTCTAGTTCTATGTATCACTCTGTATACCCATTATGAAAAGGTACCTACAATTTCCAATAATAGGTATTTGTATTTCATCATCATGCATGATAGATATTTGTTTCTCCACTTGTTTCCAAAAGTTGCTTGCTCTAGGTCAAAAATTACATCACCTATGTACCTATACTGAATAACTTGAGAGTTATGTAGGTAGGTAATCAGTTATTATATTGATCAAGTTATTGTCAACAATAGAGTTCCATTCACAAGAAAACAATTCCCAGACATGGAGAACCTCATTCTTTATCATATTGATATGAGTGTTGCCTGAAGGTGAGATATCATATACCATATAAAGTCATCGTCCTGTATATAAATGGTAACTATCTGAAAATCCATCACAAGAAATACTTAGATGAAAAAAAAAGTTTTTCTTAAAAGGACTTAGGTATATTTTTATTAGATGCCATTTGTTTAGAGACCAGAAATTCTGCCAAAATATAGTCATCGCCCTGTATATTTACGGCGACTATCTGAAAACCCATCACAAGAAATACTTAGGTGGAGAAAAAAAAGTTTTTCCTGAAAATGTCTGGTATTTTTGGGCACTAGCGCCAGTTGAGTATGAAATTCTCTGGTGTGAACTGGGCGCTGTGGTGGGGGGTGGGCGCTGAGTTTGAGCGCTAGCTCCCGACGCTAACTTCACATAAGTTGAAGAAGTTTATATCATAGTCTGGATCTTTGTGTGATTTCTTCATTAATATCTGTGATTGATGGGCTTCTGCTGGTTGTTGATTTTGTAGCTGGAAGATTGAATGATTTCATTCTCTACTAATCCAGAACATGCAACCTTATACATACTTACAGTAATTCTTGAAATATAACTGTTTCTTCAAGTAGGTACTCTGTGATCTTCGTTTCAAAAATAGATTCATGATTCATATGTAATGAAAGCTCATGCATCTTCAAAGTCCTCATATATTATTATATTCTTGTGTATCAGCTGAACATGTCCAAACTATAATTGCATCTGTTTGTTTAATGGTGTTTGTGAAATTATTATCTAAAATAGGAGAATTATTCAGCTGTGCAAGTTTGTATATATGTTTGTTCCTCACTCACTCTGTATTTATGTCAATTCCCTTCTATTTTGTATAAAAATCCACTAGAGAACCAAACACGAACTGAACACAGCACTAATACTAAAATCTCTGTTGAGAGTGTTGAAACAACATAAACAAAGAAATTAATATACGCCATACTGAATCATTGTTGCCACTGCAAAATGATCAAAATAAAAACTAACGCGAGCGAGGGATGCCAACGTTGAGTGAGTGATGATGGCACACTCCGTTGAAATTTTGATGGCCCTTGGACTTGGATACATACAGCGAAGGACTAGCGGCTGGGAAATAGAGGCCTATCATAAGTATGTGTACATTCTGCCTCCGTCACAAAATCCTTCGAAATTATATGGAGGGCCTTTCGAGGCATGCCGACATCGACATTTGCCCGCCGTTCTCGCCATGGGCCCGGCTATCTACCGCCTTTCGATGTTTGCTGGGCCTGTTGAAGAACACGTCGCAAAATTACTGGATTGGTATACGTGAGACCTTGCTACTACCATATTCCAAAAATATTTTCAAAATTTGAATAAATGAATATACCATGCCCTATTCAACATGACTCTTCAATAGTGGTAAAAATAGATTTATCATATTATAACTTGGCAACGCCGCAACCGATTCCAATTTTTTTCACAGCGATGTGAAGGTAAACTCGGCAGAATAAATTCCGAATAAACAATACTGGGTGATCCATTTTAAAAAAAACCTTCTCCGACTCGTCCCGCTTTTATAAAACACCCAGTAATGTTGAAAATATTTTTGAAATGAGCAATTCAAGTAACTGAAGAAGTTTTTCCTTCAAAGTTTTTCTCTATAGGTTATGGCTTTCGAGAAATCGAAGAATCACGCACTAAATGGACACACTGTATATCTATAGAGTATACACCTACTAACTACCTAACTAAGTTTCCATTTAGATCTACAATGCCTGAACATAATAATCATGTTTCAGGACAATATTGGGTAGACCCTAATGACGGAGACATCAAAGATGCAATTTTGGTGCATTGTGATATGGAACAAAAAGCCACATGTGTTATGCCGAAGCCATCCAGATCTGCTGAAATACGCTATGTAGGAAAGGAGCAAGAAATCTGGCTGGGTGAAATTGAACACGGATTGAAGGTACCTACTTGAAATATATATCTCTCTCGCGTGTTGTGAACATAGAAATTATTTCATTCCAGATCACCTATAAAGCAGATAGTACACAAATTGGTTTCCTGCATTTGTTATCGTCAAGGGCTTCTCAGAACATAACATATCACTGCAAAAACTCTGCAGCGTATTTCGATGTCACTAGACATACATTTAGAAAAGGAATTAAACTCATGAGTGCCAATGATGTTGAGATCACTCCTAAAGGGAAATTGCGATACGAAGCTGTAATAGATGAATGCAGGGTAAGTAAAATGTATAGTCACCGATATAATAGTGTAAATGGTTGAGTAATAAGTATTAGAGATTTTGGCTCGGAAGTGTTATTTAGAAAATTAGAGTTGGCTAGTTTTTTTTCTAATCAGAAAAATATATCTAGATTAATAAGTACAGGGTGATTCACCATAAATGTCCCCCCCCCCCTTCTAGCTCGCTTATTTTTGAACCGATTTAAAAATTTCAAAAATCATCTTAAATGATTTTTCAGATATTGTTTTCCCGTTGCATCAGAAAATACAAGGTGCTCGGAACAAACGATCTACAGAGTACTATACTCGATTTTTTCAGATGGAACACCCTCTGTATTTCATTGTATTTTTAGATTCTCCCTGAAGAGCTGATTTTATCAATGTATCATACTTGGGGTCTAGCGGGAATGATTACAGAGATATAGGGTGTTCAAAATCGAGATTTTTCAACTTTAGGATTTTTTTGTGTCGAAACTATTCATTATTGGTCAAAACGGCTTTGATGTCCCTATCTCAACTTTTTATTTACTATCTACAGACATTCAATTGAAACATATACGGTGTGGTTCAAGATTCAGAATTCTGATCACCCTGTAACTGTTCCAATTAGCAAACTTGGTAGATTTCAATGCAAACAAAACACAAGCATGCCTTTTCTCTAGAAAAGCCGATCTCACTGTGCCCAACATGAGCTTGTCAGGAGTAACCATACTCCATTTCGATGCTTGGTATTACTATCAGCAATAACCTTACTTGGGAAAATCACGTGAGATCAATTGCTAAAAGTGCATCACAAAAACTTGGCTTTCTGTTTCGGGGCAGGAGCTATTTCACTTCCAGTCAGCTCCCAGCGAGCACAAAAACATCTCAGAGATGTTAAAAGTACGAGATTTCGAGACATTGAACCTCCACTGCGATGTTCTGTTCACACAGGAATAAAACTATCATAGAACAGCCAATGTCCGCCGCAGGCGGCAATTATCGAGATGTCCTTGATATGTCACAAAACTACCTTCTCCCTAGTTCTTTTCAAAGCCTTTTCATGGACACAACAGAACATTTTCAACGCGTCTTGCGCACATTAAATCGCTGTAAAAAAAACATTTTCGAGGTACTTTTCTGAAGCCTTTTGTCAAAATGAACTTTTGCATTAGGATTCCATTTCCCTTGAATGAAAAAATGCATTAAAAATAGATTGAACATAAAAATATTCTCTTGATATGAAATTACCTTCTTGATCGGTTTCTGAGTAGTGCTTACTACACACAAACATATAATTGGAAATAGGTTTCCCAATTTTTGAAATGTTCTCAACAATGCATAATTTTGCAACTGCGCAGAAGCTGTGTATTGATAAATTCGTACTTTTATATATTGATTACACTGAGGCACCGAACAACAACATCTTGCATCTGATGGTCATTATTACAAACTAAATAAGTCTTCTAACACAATAAACTTCACCAAATTCCTTTCTGTTCGTTAGCAGCTTGACACGCTGCAAACGCGAATGCTAATTGCGAACAAGAAGAAAAAAATCGAAAACAAATCAGAATTCATCGTATTGTGACGTAAGCATGAGACGTTGTGGTGGGGCAAACAAAAAAAGGGCACAAAAGAACAAAAACAATACTTTCAATATCCTTCTAAGACCTCTTAGGGAAGTGCATATTACGCCTCAAAAAAACATCCTCATGCCTACATTTCTAAAACATCCCAAAACATCCCAGGGATACCTCTCAGTAGGCAAACAAAGAAATGCCACAGAAGAACAAAATCAATACTTCAATATCCTTCAAAGACCTCTTTGGTCAGTGCATATTACGTCTCAAAATAACATCTTCATGCCAACATTTTCAAAACATCCCAAAACATCCCAGGGATGTTTGTGCTCGCTGGGCTGCTCAGCTGCTTATGATCTATATAAGGCACAGATGCCACAGATCCGACCAATCCTGAAATACTGTTCCCATATTTGGAGTGCAGCACCCAAACATACCCTGAAACTGTTGGATTCTGTCCAAAAAGCAACTCGTCTCATGGGTGATGCCTCGCTCACAAACTCACTCACTTCTCCGGAACATCGTAGAAAAGTTGGCGACCTGGCTCTATTTTATAGATATTTTCATCGACGATGCTCTTCTGGAATATCAACAATTGTTCCTCCCTTGGCAGTCCCCGCGAGATTAAACCGTCGAGTTGAGGCTTCGCATCCCTATCGTGGCCACTTTGGAGACCTGCAGAACATCTCTTTCTAAAAACTCGTTCATCCAACGAACAGCTAGGCTCTGAAACACATTGCCAAAGGAGATGTTCCCCGAGGCATACAACCTCCAGAAATTTAAGAAGAACACCAATTCCTACCTTATTTCCCTTGGTTCTCACGATATTCTTTGTACATTATTACATGATCGTTGAAACCAGAACATAAAAAAATGAGCTAGGTATTCAAAAAAGCGATTCCTCTAGTGTTACATTTTCAATATTTTCTCCAATTTCAATAAAAAAAAAATGAAAGCAGAACTAATATTACACCAACTTTTTGTTTCAGTATCGCAAAGACACGTGGGCTGAATCAGTCCTGAGCTATTCGACCGACAAACCGAGCAGACTTCCAATCACTGATATTGGCGTCAGAGACATTGGAAAACCTGATCAATCATTCTGGGTGGAAATCGGAGCAGTTTGTTTTTCCTGAACAGAGTCGCATCAAAACTATTCTGGTACTTAATTTTATAAGTTCAGCCAAAGTATCACTGCCTTCTTCGATTACTTATATGTGTTCAATAATATATATTTATATAGTATGTATAGGTTGGTATGATGATAATTTCACAATGTGAATTGAATATGTGACATTCTTTATATTTTTCCAAAGGTGCTATAATGATAAGTATATGTATAGGTAATTTTAAGTGTAGAAATAAACGTTATAAAATTCGAATTTCATTGAGACCGCTGAACTTTTTTACCTAGAGAATTGTTGAGAAAGTTAAGTATACCTACAATTGGAAAAACCTATCAAGAGTATGTGCATATATAGCATTTCGGAATCTGACAGAGTAGTTCAGTTTTGGACTGCATCAAATTGAACATATTCCTCAATACGAAAGTGTCACGGAGTTATTCGAATTAACCTTATTATTATAAGGCGCTCAAATTCACGATTGCTGTTTGTGAAGAATGGTAATTTCTTAAGAAGTTCTGAGACAATATTCTTCATTTTCATTACAATTTTTTTTTCTCTCTCTGTGAATGGATATCAGATATTCCAAGAACACGAATAGGATAACCTAGGGATGTACCGGGCGGGATGTCCACTGGACGACCACTGCGAGACATCCCCTGGATACCCCAATCATGTCCTTGTACCGCAGGACAAAAAAGGGACGTACCTAGGACATCCCTGTGTTGTTAGGGTTTACATTTGAAAAAAAAGTTGACGGTGCCCTCTTGCCACTAGGCCATTTCACCACAAACATTTTCATGCCAAAAAGTATAGTAACAAATTTTTTGCTTGAATTCTACCCGACCTCGGTAGCTTGTTCCGTTCAATAGTTGAAGTGGGAAAGGGGGCTCTTCACGTCCTCATTTATGGCTCTCTGACATTTTTTTTTAATTACCTAAACCATAAGGCCATAACCCCTACCAAAAAAAAAAAAAATTAACGACCCTGTTGGAGGGCCGTTGCTACACGAAGCGAGGAATATGTGCTGCACACAAGCGCCGAGAAGGGTATGCCTGCTTTACAGCGTCCACAACCAGTTGTGCACACGCAAAATATGTTGTTCAAGATGGATTCTGATGGTGTAACTGGGTCCGTGCTTGGAACAGGTGTAAGGAAAGGAAGCCATCCGACCCCCTCATGCATCCCCAAGCATTAGGTTCCTGCTGCTGATCTCCATATATAGCCACTGCTGGTTCTGGAGTGTTGGCGAGCAGCCCTTCTGATAGGTAGATGTGTCGCAAAATCAGGCTTTGGCTTTGTCAAACTCGGTTCAGATCTGCTCCTTCTGTGGCCTGGTACAATGCCAAAAAAATGTCCTCCTGCATCAGTTACCATCTCTTGTGTTGCTGAGGGATCACAGAAGACTTGGAAGACGTCTGTGACCTGTTCCAGAGCCCTAAAAGTAGCTTCACCTCTCTTGCTCTTGTTAAACAGAGTGATTTATGAGGTTGCATTCCAATTAAGTGCTGCTCCTATAAGGTGGCGGCGTATGGACTTATTAACAAAGCCCACACAGAACACATCATTTCAAGACACTTTAGGCCGAAAGACTTCAATGGAGGTCGATGGCCAGTAGGTATGTACCGGGTGAACAACTAAGAACGGCTGTCGGCCATACCTCAGCAACGAATAATGATACAAGATTGAGCTAGAATAAATCTTATGGTATGCATATCATTATAAGATGTCATAGAATATAGAGAAACTAAATCTCAACAGACCAACGAAAATCACAACATGATACCTTTTCGTCAACGGAAGATATTAACTATCAAAGTTGGAAGAAAGATAGATGACAGCCGTTCTTAGTTGTTCACCCGGTACATACCTATACCAACGAAGTATATAATATATTCTATTACTATATGAAAGATAAAACTACATACAGATTCTCAACTTTTTCTAAATTATCCTGAAAATTCAAACTAGGCAACTTTTAATAGCTATTAAAATACTTGTAAGATTGGAATCGAAAAACATGGGGCTCATACATACATAGAGGGTTTAGAGATCAAGTAGCTATCAGTAAAGTAAAAAGGACTTAATTATCGCTTCACATTATCTGCAGTGCAGTAAAATTACTGGAGCTATTAATGCATCATTCATCTGCTGCATGCACCCCATGTTTTTCATTTCCAATCTCACAATAAGTATTTCAATAGCTATTAAAAGTGGCCAAGTATGAATATTCAGGATAATTTAGAAAAAGTTAGAAATCTCTATGTGGTTTTATCCTTGATAGAGATTAGAGAATTTGTTCTGTACTTTTTAGTCCGTTATAAAAACGTGGTACAAACACTACATTTTTTTATTTTTTTTTATTTCTACTGTTTTTTTTAAACGTCTTTTTCGGGCTCTTTGACTTTCTCTCCTTCTTTCCGTTTTTTTTTTACATATTCATGCATTGTTACCCACTTCTGAGCTATGGTCCAAATTACAAGAATCTAGCTCATCAGGAAGGAAGGTTATTGTGCTTGGAGTGGTTAGAGTATCTAAACAAATCGGTTTTGCAGTTTACGTCGCTTTCACCAAGTCACGAACGATATGACTGATGTACGTTTGAACTGATAACACCATTTCTAGTGAGCACTTGGGATTTCGTTTTCAAATTGACAGTGAGTTGATGATCGCAACATTTATATGTCCACTGGACTCACATCATATTTTACGAGCTGGACTATACTTATACGAGAGCAAGTTGAATGAAACCATAGAAAATAAGAATCTTTTTTGTCTTATTGAAGAACATTTTTCACCTAAAATTTTGACTATAAAATATAACCACTCCGTACAAACCGTGGTTCATACATTGCCAGTAGTTTCAAGATAATCATGAAAAAAATTGATGAATTAGGATGCCATTACAAACATTGTTAACTAAGCAAACCCAATTTATTTATTTGAAATACCCAGTTCAACCAAAGTATACACCCTAACGAAAAACAGTAACTTCACTTAGTGTCGGAACGTTTGATGTCCACAAGTTTTATTTTTTGTCCGACCAGTGCGCATACCACCACGCACAGACTTGCGTGTTACGGGCTTGGTCTAGCCAATAGCAAGCCAATGACGACTCGCTCGTCATCACTGAGGAATGCTGTGAAGTCACTGAATTTTATATAAACAGGTCCGGCTTCAAACAAATAAATAGCCAGATAGGCGTAGATTCGCACTCATAGAATCATTGAAATTTTGATCATGAAAAAAAATGATTTTAGTTTTCTTTCTGGAAAATATTCTTGATGTTATTTTTGATTTCACATTACAAACAGTTTAACCACAGTATTTGTGGTTCAACTGACAATAAGTATTATATTATGTCTGACAGTGATTAAAGAATTGTTTAAATATATCCAATGTTTTTATTTACTCTTCATTTGGATAAAGGAATGGAAATATAACCAACCTCAATATTCTTGAATTATTTTTTATTTCACACTGAAGTTCAATATGAGCAATTATAGATATAAAATGAATATTATCCAGAAGTTGACACTATATTCAACTGCATGTTCAACAGAAATGTATGGATATAATAATACAGTAGGTATATGTTTATACCACACAGTGTTTTATGATGAATAAATAATGGCAATGGAAAACAAACAGATATAGATGTCTGTGGATACAATTTTGCTTAAATTGGCTCATCTTTTGGAAATCTGAAGAAACTCAAACTGCAATCTGTCCTACTATTTTTACTACAGATGAAACAGTAGGCAGCCATTATCTTCCAATGATAAACAGTTTGATGAACAGTAATATCTGGTACTATCACAAGCACTCAAAAGTAAAACGGTTCGCCAGAAGCTGTGACCTCACATATGAAGTTTATGATGCACAATAAATATAACAGCAATCAGGAACATGGGTGGTTCACGAAACAATACCAGGCAAAATAAATAAATCATGATAGATGTTCGTGGTTCCAATCACAGAATGAATCACAAACAAAGGCATAGAAATCAAAGAAGTGTAAACAAAACACCTGCCCTGCTAGCCGAGCCACTGCGCACACTAGCCAGGAGTGGACATGCGCACTGCGATTTTAGGGACACGAAAAGTGCTAAGTGAAATTAGTGTTTCCGTTAGGGTGTATACTGTGGTTCAACCACTATGACCAAACTGCCATAATCTGACATCATTACGAGCATTATTATATTATGTGCTGAATTAATAAACAAATTAGCGAAACTAGTGAGCTCAAGCAGCTTGTATAACTGGAAATTATTCCACCATGACTACCAATAATGAATAGTACGAAATACAAGAAATCTTCACATTTATTGACCATCAATAATTAATAAAAAACTGATTAATATCTATTCATTACATCAAACAATTGATCAAAATTCAAATTAATTTTCAAATTTCCAAGCATATTCTCAGCATAATTCTCCATTATTGTTTTTCTATACTCTCACTCCCAACCTCAGTTTTCTCTCCTTCCACGACCTCCTGCACAATCACTTCTCCAGCACTTGCAACAGAGGCCACACTAGTCACGGCATTTTCCCCCACTCCACTTATAGCCGTCTCTGTCGCCGGCCTCGCGAACCTGGTCCTGTTATAGACAGGCCTATGTCTGATAGGCGGATACATCATGGGGTAACGAGGAGGAAGGATGATAGGTGTGCCCGGCGGGAAACCTCTGGGATAAAAAGCTGGCGGGTAGAACCGTGGCACGGCTGGGAAACTCGGACGAATCGTACCGGGGATCCAAAATTCAGCACCTGGGATACCCTGGCATGAATAATGACAATATTAGATGAATGAACGAACACTTGCTCATCAATCACAAAATGCAACATTCCATCTCCTCGACGTCCTCATTGGTCAAATGGATCACTTGATACATAGTTTTGATCGCCTACTTCCAAAGAATACTTTCTCCATCTCAGTATTTTTGCTTTCAGGAGACTTTCAATTGATAGGTCGTTTCATAGGTCAATTCAATTGCATGAAATAATGAGGTTCGAGGAAAATAATTGCAACGGTTTCAAAACTTGTGGTAGGTACTCTTATTATTTATTTATTTATTGAAAATGTGACTTCCAGTCAGAATCAAGTTCTCCCCCCCCCCTCTCTCTCTCTCTCGTACCTTCTTTGTATTTAACAAGTTATGCAATCCAAATTTCATATCCAAACCCCTTTCTCTCCATTGGCGACAACTCTGTTTCTTTACTGAAAAAATCAAGTTCTACGCTGATGGAATGATATTTATTATAATCAGAATATGAGTGTTATTGCCAAATGAAGCTATACTAACGTACCAAATTTGAATAAAATCTCATGAGCTGTTTCAAAAACGATTTGAAAACGTACCACATTTGAATAAAATCTAATGAGCCGTTTCAAAAACGATTTGAGCATCCAAACTAAGCAACTTTGTACTGAGATAAGTTTGCTTGTAAGTTTTTGTAAAGACCTTTTAGGGACACCCTGTATTATATCGTCAAAACCAATCTCACCTCGTAGAATCCGTAGTCGTACCCGTCCGCCCGCCTCGCCGGCGATCGGCTCCTGCTCCTGCGTCCCTGCCGTCGCCTGTCGCGCTCGTACTCGGGCGACCTCGACCGCCGGCGACCCGAGACCGCCCCCTGGCGGTTGAACGTGACGACGGGCGGGTGCGGCGAGCGGCTGCGGGTGCTGCGCGGGTCCGCCGGCGGGCGGTAGCGGCCGTGGTGGTGGGGGCGGCCGGGCGATCTGCTGGATCGTCGGGCGTGTTTACTAGGGGAACTGGAAGAGGAATATCACCGTATGAGGACTAGAGTCACTGGATGGTATTAGTAAGATGATAGTTCGGACCATTGTCTGCTAAATATGGAGAAAAAATCTAGTGAGCTGTAACTACTGGTCTGCTGTATAGCTCAGTTGAGTGTATGACCACCAGAGGATGTTACCGTACCGGACGAAATGATCTTACTTTTTTCTAGAAAATTTCCGAAATTTGTGGTTATGTAAGTTGTCAGTGTCAAGAGCTGTCGTGTCATCGTCACTTGTATTGTATTTTTTCATAAAAAAATATGTCTTCAATTCTCATTGTTCTAATATTTCTTTCGTTTATAGATATAGTTTTGTGTTGTGCTCCCAGTATTAAAGTAGTTCATTATGATTGATAATTTGTTACAAACTCTGTGTCTCAATTGTGCATACCAGAAAGTATGAAACCGTCTCCATTCATGGATTTCCAAGTGATATTTCTTTGCCACATAAGTGGATACATTCGATATTGCATTACAAGAAAGATAATCAGAGCCCTGATCAAAATAATAATCGATACTACTGATTCTACCTCTCATGACTCTCATTCAATTTAGGTGTTGAACGTTACGAAATCGGGGACTATTATAGTGTCTGTAGCAACCATTTTGAGAAGGAATGATTTTTTGAATTTTTGAGTTATTGAGTGACTATGTCATGATACTGAACTCAGAATCATTGAACAAACTGCGCCGCCGGCCGAGACTGCCGAGAGCACCGCTGAGGGAGCTGCTCAACTCGTTTATGATTTTCAAGGTTATGTAGGTTTGAAAGGAAAACAATTGAAATAAGTGTTTCCTCGAGTTGACCGTATGGCGGCACTACTGTATCGGCCACAGAAACCTGTAGGTGATTTTCCTTGTTTGAGCAGACCAGATACTACAGCTCACTAGATTTTTTCTCCATATTCAGCAGACAATGGTTCGGACACAGCTGAACTTCTGTCTTTTTCTATTTTCTACTCGAGAAAATCACCAACCAATAGATGATGCTATTAAACGTCAAATCAACGTCAAGTATAAAACTGAGTATGAACAACAAAAACATTGCCGTGCATTTTGCAAAATAGTGAATAATGAGTTGATTTCGTGAAATCTTCATAATACAATGTTTCCAGTATGGAAAAAATACCTTTTTCTGCAGAGAAATTGCCATTTTGATGTGGACAATGGTGGTATTCATCATTGATGTCACATTACAATTCCACTGTTTTCAAACATATGGAATGGTCGGAATGGTTCACTCAACACTTGCTTGCATTGGGATGGAACCATAAGGAATCAGCTATTACAACAATATGGTATAGATATGAAGAAATAATTGAATTCATCAAGAAATATTACTGGCTGTTATGAAGGAGATGGAATTCTAGTGAAGGGGTTCGAAAAGAAGAAATGGTTGGAGAGACTGCTAAGAATGAACAATATCATCGATTTACATAAACAAGGATCCCCAGCAATTGAGGACATGTTATTTTCAAGATCGAATCATTGCAACCAACATTTATATAATGATTCTAATTGTGCATTATAAAATGTATATCATTCAAGGTTGGTGCTAGTTTCTTCATTGTAAACAATAAAAGTTCATGCAATAATTCGATTTTTTTCATTAGGAAAAAATGAGGTTCTGGAATATGCACTTCAACAAATAAATAATTTAAAAATGAATCACATAATTATGAAAGGAAATACTGATTTTCCTTTATTTTCACGAGATACAACCAAATACAGCATAACAACAACAAGAAACACATTCATGGATTATAGTTTGATCACACAGTAATTCACTTATCAGTTTGTGATTTTTTTATCAAAATGAAGCAACCACGAAACTAATCAATATTGACGAATTTCACGGAGTAGTTCACCTACCTATGTGGTGATCGAGATTTTTTTCTCTCTCCATGTCTCACGGGCGATCTACTCCATCTCTTATCGCCAGACGTTTTCTTTCCTGAATATCCCGCAGGACTTCTAGATCTTCTGGGTGAACGACTGGTTCTTCTTGCAGATGGTTTTTCATATCTTGGTGACCTGGATCTGCGAGAGGATGAAGGTTGTTGCCTATCCCTTGACGGTGATCTACTGCGCCTCGAAACAGATCTAAAAATGAATTGGAAGTGACGAACAGATGTGAGTCTCTTGTCAGCAAAAAGTCATTACCAAATCAGGTATTGGCTGTTCCAACACGGAACTAGTTGAAATTTTATAAGTCGTCATGCAAGTCCTTTGAAGTGAAATCAGCTTATGATTCCCAGTTTTTGAATTGGTATCGAAGACGACTTCGAAATCTTGAGCCTGCTTCATCACGTTTAGGAAGTGGACGAATATACTTTTTGAATAAATATAGGTAATTAAAAATAAACCTAGCAACCAAGTTCCATGTTGTCACTAAAAAGTTTACTGATGATACCATAACTAACCTGATTTTATCATTTCTACCCCTTGATCTAGATCTCGTCTTCAAATCAGGATGACCCGGCCTGTATTCACCCGGCCTTAATGGTGTTGGAGACCTTTTTCTAGAAACGAAGTCATCTCTCTGTCTACTGTCGTATTTTTTTGAATTATATCTTTCGTTTGATTTTTCTCTATCCCTACTTCTGTCTCTGCTACGCGATTTCCGCGTTGTAGGTCTGTCTTCGCTTCTTCTATTGTCTCGTCTTTCTATACTCCCTACTAGGAGATAATGAAAATATGTTAATGAATAAATACAATATTTAAAACAAAAATGGTATTCAATGACTTGAATATAATCAATATCCAAAGTCTTCGTGAGTTATTTAGGGTCCTGCCGATTTCATACGGACAGTATTGCTATTCCCTTAAGGGTAAGAGATAGAAATTTGATCAAATTAGACAAAATTTGGGTGAATTAGACCTTGACTATGCCGTTTTGCAAACTGAAATAATTTCATCCGCTCCTGAAATGTATGGAAAAAACTAAAAATGCCAGATTTTTTTTTAATTCACTGCTTAAAATTGTTAACTGCCCCACTCTTATGATAACCAAACAAATTTAGATCCAACACATAATTCTGTCTCTTCATTTTTCGCGAAATTGTGTTTCCGATCAGCACCATGAGTCCGTTAGGACGAGTGGTATTGCTGTACGACAACACAATTAAGTCAACAATGAAAGACAGAATTATGAGAACATATTCCAGAGTGGGAATTTTGCTAGACTATTTCATGTTCCCTAAACATCAGAAGCATTTATTACAAATGAGTGATTCATTCTGACAAGTACAACCATAATTATTTTATGCCAAACTTAGTTTGCTTCGCTATCCATGGTTAAATCGTTAAATACATTAACGCTGTTAGACTAATCAGAATTGAAAGACAGCTAATGTGGTCGAATTGAGATATGAATCGAAATCTAGAAAATGATGACACAAGTATCCAGAGCAATATCTATCAACAATATTGAAATATTCAATTTTTTTTAATGTAAACTTCAATACCCAATAGGATCAATGAACAACTTTTCATTCACAGGTGAAACTGAATTGAGGAATTGACAGGTTACTGTTCATCACCAAGTATACAAAACCTAATCCTTGAAGTGTACCTTTGCTCCTTCTTTCTCTATCATCCTGATCAGTGCTGTGTCTTCTGGGCCTACTATAGCTATCAATTCTTGTTTCTCTTCCAGGTTTGTCATCATTCCTTCTTTCTCTACTCCTACTTCTTTTTTCTTTGCCCCTACTTCTTCTTTCTCTACTATTACTTCTCCTTTCTCTGCTCTTACTTCTTCTATCTCTACTTCTACTTCTTCTATCTCTACTCCTACTTCTTCTGTCTCTACTCCTACTTCTTCTCCCGTCATTTCCTCTTCCGGTGGTAGTGGAACTTTTGCTTTTTCCAGCTGGCGTTCGAGATCTAGATCTTGTGCTACTTTTAGAGCTTGGTGAATGATCAGGATCTAGACGATTCGCGTCTGCTAAAACGAATCTTTCTTCTTGATTAACTTGTACATCTTCCCTGTCAAATAGAGATGTTGGTCTTGTATCATTACCTGAAAAATTATTTATTGGTGCAGAAACAGTAACAACGCAAATTTAGTTTAATTTTTCGAAATTATATTCTTGTTAGATCAATACTTGGTAATTCTATATCTCGAAATTGATCATAGTTATTATTATATATATATTATTGGAATAATTATAAGGCTGAAAATAAAGATGATATCTGAAGTTAGCATTATCAGTTTCTTCATAGTTCCTTCAACTCTTCTGATCTTTCATGTCTTCAAGCTTCCTTCTTCATTCTTCTTTCTTGATTCTTGTCATATACGAGTCAACACACATCTTTGCATAGGTGAATAAAACATTTACTGTATCAGGCAACTGGTGTTACTCTATAGATTTGGGAAATATCAAATTTGACTGGATTAGGTAGTATGAATGAAATTATACTAAATCGAAATACTTTCGAAATAATCTTGTCTAGTAAACCAATTTCAAATAAATCAGATATCTCCATTAAATAGTTATTTGTTTTACTAGGCACACAGTAGTAGATCGATTTCCTCGGCTGATAGCCCATAGCCGAGCGTAGCGAGGCTAGGAATCTACTCTACTGCCATGTGAAACATTTAATTTTTTCACCTAATGTTATAAAACCAATTTTTTGTAACTTTTTCATTGAAAACTTCATCATTATGTGTTCACCCAATGTCAGTGTAAACTTTGATTACCAATTTCATTCAAATTACTTGGAACGTTGCATAGCAACAAACTTTTCCTGCCTATGCAGAGAAAGTTCACCTGTACTGCCTGCCACTTTCAATGCCGTTTGGAGGAAAATGAATGTTTATTTGCTACTAATGATAATAGGATTATTGTCAATCTTTAGTAAAAGATATTTGTTATTTTCTGAAATGAGATCGTAGATCGTAACTCAATATTTTAGATTTTGGTATTCTTTCAATATTTTATGTTTCAGAAATAAATCTAGAAACCCAATAATACACACTGGAAATAGCAAGAAAATGAGTTCCACACAATATGATGGAGAATGGTTTGTGTCTTTGATGGCTAGGTCTTCAACACCTATTATGTTTGTATTTGTCATTGAACATTGTAGAATAACATAGTCACCTGATAGTTGATATTAAATTGTATTGTATTCAACGTTAAGAATAAGGAAGAAGTATCAAACAAAATATATGATTTGAAATGGGAAAAATATGCGTATCTATTTCATGTTCCTCAATATCTTCTTCCCACCAATTCTTCTACAGTTCCGCTGAAAATATCTGTAAAATATGGTTATGGCATTGAACAGGGTGTTATCATAATGAAGAAAACAATTTTATTCAAATGATAGGCAAAAACACTGATTTATGGAACAAAACAAATAATGGTCAAAGAATTTTTTTTTGATGCATGACAAATTGTAATTCATCATACAGTACGTGGAAAGAAATTCTGAATTGAGGAAACCTAATCAAGAATCCGCGATCGAAGGGTCAAAAAATAACATGTTCAAGTTTGAACCCCTTGATTGGATAAATGTATTGAAAAGGAATCTTCTCAGATGAATTATGAACATGAAAAAATGGATATACAGGGTGTTTCTTAAGTACGTGTAGAAAATTCAGGAGCATGTTGCTGACGTCAAAATTAAAAGAAAAGTTCGTTAAAATATATGTCCGAGAGTTATTCGTTTCTGAGATACAGAGTGTCAAAGTTGAATTCTCATTCTTGCTTTTCAATGAATTTCTGAATAATTGTGATATTCGAATGACGTTTGGTATCTAGGGGTATTTTTCAATGACATCAAATGTTATGTTAGTTTGTCTCTTTCGTGGGGTGGCGCCACCTACATGTCTTTTGAGTCTTTGGAAGTCATAACTTTTTTGTGCGTACCTGTATCACGTTTTATAGTAGAAAAATAGATTTCAAGAACACTTTTGTGTGAAAAATATATTCTTGGTAGAGGTCGCTGCGAGCAAGTGTGTACGAGTTATTGGGATTTGAAATTATCGATGCATTTGAATATTTTTTTTGTGGGGTCATTTGAAGGCCTTAGTTTATACGGTGCCAATAGAAAGCGAAGATCAACTTCGTCATCTGATCATTGCTGGATGTGACGCTATACGAAATACACCTGGTATAATGGAATGGACCGTGTACGTGGGTCTATGAGACGACGAGCAGACGCATGCATAATGATGCAAGGTGGCCACTTTGAACAATTACTTTGATCAATTCCCTCAACTGTTTTAGTATCAATTTGGTCCTATTTTAAAATAAAATTGAAGAAAAATAATTTGCCTTACTTGATAAATCAATTTTGAATTCCAACTTCTTGTCATTCCAAATTACTTGCATTGATTATTTCAAATCCCAATAACTCGAAGTTCTAGAAATCTGTTTTTCTACTATAAAACGTGATACAGGTACGCACAAAAAAGTTATGACTTTTCAGAAGGCTCAAAAGACATGTAGGTGGCGCCACCCCCCCACGAAAGAGACAAACTAACATAACATTTAATATTGTCATTGAAAAATACCCCTAGATACCAAACTTTATTCGAATATCATAATTATTTTGGAATTTATTAACAAAAAACAAAAAAAGAATTCAACTTTGACACTCTGTATCTCAGAAACGAATTATTTTCGGACATATATTTATACGAACTTTTCTTCTCATTTTGACGTCAGCAACATGCTCCTGAATTTTCTACACGTACTTAAGAAAAACCCTGTATATAATATAAAGAAATACATTGAGAATTCGCTTTCTCTATGTGATGAAAATATCAATTCTTTCTGGGTTTATTCAACAGGAAACAACTACTTTCCTGGCTATATTCCACGACGAACATTGAATTATATCTGTTGAACATCCAATAGGAGAGCATGAAAAATAAAAATCTTCTGACATTGAGAACTGACATTCTCTCTCAAATCGGATAATAATGATATGATGTATTATGATTTAAAAATATATCTTACCAATATGTTCAGTATTGAAATGAAAATTGAAATGTATATGAGAAGTATACTTGTACTTTATTCGAATAAAACTCATTTCAGATATCATACCCTCTCAGTAACCTGAAGTCCAGTTATTCTTTCAACCATTCTTCGTGATATACACAATTTTCATCTCTTCATAATATAAACCTTCAATCGCAGATTCGTGATTAGGTTTTCTCAATTCAGAATTTCTTTTCACGTATTGTATGATGAATATCAATTTGTCATGCATCCAAAAATAAAAACCACCAGATGACAGGGATTGAATATCAACAAATGGTGGTTCGTTATATTTTTAGTTATAATATAAAAATATGAAAATTGTGTATATCATGAAGAATGGCAGAAAGAATAACTGGACTTCAGGTTACTGAGGAGGGTACAATATCCGAAATGAGTTTCATTCGAATAAAGTCATATAACCTGTTTGTGAGAGATATAATTCCCATATCACTGATAGGAATTATTTTTCTGGAAGTTTCAAACTCATCAAGATCAGAGTATGAATACTTCTCATATACATTTCAATTTTCATTTCAGTACTGAACATATTGGTAAGTTATATTTTTAAATCATAATACATATTATTTATCCGATTTGAGAGAGAATGTCAATTCTCAATGTCAGAGGATTTTCATTTTTCATGCTCTTCTTTTGGATGTTCAACAGATATAATTCAATGTTCGTCGTGGCATATAGCCAGGAAAGTGGTTGTTTTCTGTTGAATAAACCCAGAAAGAATTGATATTTTCATCACATAGAGAATGCGAATTCTCAATGTATTTTCTATATACATACATATATCCATTTTTTCATCTTCATAATGTATCTGTGAATATTTCTTTTCAATAGTCAAAGAATCTTGATAAAAAATTACCAGTATTGTGATAAATATGTCAGAAAAGATCTTCAAAATACATAATGCAATAAAACTTGGGTCCCTTCTTTGATCAGCAGCAACTAGGAACTGCCTACAGTCAGTGGGGGAAAATGTTCTCACACAGTAATTAGAGAGAATATTGTTATTGACTTCATCACGAATTAATCCACCACAAATATTGAAGTTAGCTTCTGCCATAATGAGCACTTTTTTCATCTCATTTTCACTAAAATAGCTATGAATGAAACACATATTTTGTTACTGACTTTTTTGTTCCCTAGAAGTTTTTCAAAAGATATAATTGTTTATGTTCGTTTATAAGATATCCTAGATACTGCGCTCGTGCTTAAAGGACCCCGCACCATTTACATTGAAATCTTGTCTACGGTGAAATTTTGTGAAAATCTAGGATTGGATAGGTCAAATCATGCTGAACAAGAATTGCCCTTTGGTCCAAGGTTCGTTATGCCCGTTGAAAGAAGTTATAAGCTCTTGAAGCCAAACGAGATAACCTCTACCAGAACAGCACATCTTGTGTGTTATAGGTTTTGGCATATATGATATTTTTGAGCTATCAGATAATGGTCATTGTTATGTCAGTAAGAGTCATTGAGCAAGAGCGTATTACTTTGTTCAAATACATATAAGCAGATGGCATATCAGAATAGGTTTCGTTGCTTTATATGCAATAGCGAAGGCAATGCTATGGCACGCATCGATTGAGATCAAAATGTTGAGCAGCGACCAATCGCAATTCATCGTCGACGGGTTCTAGGAAGAAAGGATCGTACTCATTTATTTCTGAACTGTTATTGATCCATTATAGAGGAACTTGGAATTCGGGATAACGTTCATTCTATGAACCTGAATGTTGTCTTTCCCATCCATGCAAGAGTGTGCATATTTTGTGGCGCAAATAATAATTTACTTCACCTATCATTAGTTGCTAGAGTCAATGTATATATTGTAAATAATATTCTTATCCCTGAAAATGCCCAATATTGTCGGGAACATGTCAACACTGATGGTATAATATTGCGACCATTGATTGGTGGTTTACGTTATACGGAAAGGCCACTAATAGTCCCCGGTCGAGACGTATTTGAACAAAGTAATACGCTCTTGCTCAATGACTTTTACTGGCAT